CATTAGGCAGGTCGCTCCGGTCAGTATTAATTTTATTTTAAAAATAAGAAATTCCGAATTATATTGTTAAAATTTAATAAAAATTTAAAATTAATTTTTTTATTGAAACTTTAGCAGGAAATAACAATAAATATTGGTAATTTTGAACATTTAAACTTTCTGTTTTTTAACTAATTTGCGTTTTTTTAGGCCATACTTGATATTTATCCGTCGCACGAGTGGAAGTTATTCGTTTCCTTGAATTCATTCTAGGTTCTTCTGCTGACTTACTTGTTTGGAGTTCTTCATTAACATTATCGGACAATTTAACTGGCTTCTTTTGTGATTTTTTTTTAATTAATTACAAAATAGTGGTTAGTTTTAAATAAACACACGAGCTGTCAAACAATAAACAATTGAATAAACTGACCGGTGTTACCCCACAGCTTTGACCGGTATGACCCCAACCGATAGTTGAAAAAATAAACTTTATTCAAAAGAAAACGATTAATAATTACAGTATAATAAAAATTCCCACTTATAAAGGAAGATTTATAGATTATATACATAAAAATTATAAATTTTTATCTTGCTGTAAACTATATTAAAAGCCTTACGGAAATGATTCAGATTCTTAGATCAAATGGGAATCAATTTTTTAATTTTTAATTATTACTAATAAATACTATATTTCTAAGTTTTGAATCTATTTTTTACTCTCAGCTAAATAAGCGTACAAAATAAAACAAAATTCAAAATTTAAGGTATAGCAGATTTTTTTAAATGGGGTCGCTGACCGGGGCGACCCCAAGCTCCCCTACTTATTTAACTAAGTTAGGTAAGATTGTACTTATTTAAAAATGATTATACGATTTTTATGGAATGAATGATCATCAGACATTTCTTTTTTTTTATTAATAAATTTAACCCAAAAATAATTTTCTTGGAACACATACATTACAATCGGCTACATTTTTTTCGAAAACACTTCAACATATTTAATTTCACATTGAAGATAGTGGGATTTTTTTGCCTTCATAAATAAAAGAAAGTTGAACTAAAGTAAAATTTCCATAGACTTCTTTTCATACCTAACTACCAAAATATTACAATGACATTAAAGGTGTATTATTTTATTATATTCTTTAAAGTATTGAATTCGAAGAGCCATTATTTATTTCTTGGATTTGAGTAAATATCTGCACTTAAGATCTCATTAAGAGTGCATGAAAATTAATTGTAAATTTTAAAGAAATAGCAATTAGCCTTAATGGATTCTTTGATGACTTGGTGAATTTTGCTAATTTTTACCTGGCTAAGGTTCGCTCAAGTTATGGACTCCCCAGTCCTTTTCCCTCTGACTAAACGATAGTAAAAGAACCAATGACAAACGTTTATTACCAGAGGAAGGAGTAAGACCCTAATGAATTTTTGAAAGAAGGGAGCCTCAAGAGTTTACTTTGTGAATCGCTTCAAGAACTCAAATCATTCTTACGACAAAGTTCGAAGTGCAACTATCTGCAAATCAAAACCAAATTTTTCTAAGTTTTACATACACTTGTGTATTATTCAATTACTCAAACCGAAAAATGGCAGTGAACAGTTGTGATTTGAAAATGATTGAGATGTCAGTGAAATACGGATATTTGGACATCAACTCGGTATTTCCTTGTGATCAGTACCGAGAAATAAGTGTGCTCCAGTTCGCCATCATGAACTCGGGCGAAGAACTCATCGATTTTCTATTGAAAAACAACGTAGAGTTGAATATTAGCACTGTCTTCTTGGGAACGGCGCTCCACGTGGCCATCAAGGAGAAGAACCTTGAAGTAGTGAAGAAGTTAGTTTTTTCTGGAGCTGACGTCAACGTAAGGCCAAGTAATTATGAAAGATTACCACCACTTCACCGTGCCATTCAATGTGGTGATTACGAGATCACCGAGTTCCTGGTGATGTCAGGAGCAAACGTAAGCGTCTCGGCCTACAAAGAGGCGTCAATAACGGGTTGCTATCACTGGTCTCCTTTGAATATAGCAATTTCGAAAAAGGACATCCGTGTGATTCAATTGTTGTTAAAGAACAACGCCACCATCGATCAAGGATCATACGGGGTGAAATCTTCCCTTCACTTGGCTGCAAGTACCGGCAGCATTGAGATTCTCCAAGTCCTGGAAAACTTTGGAGCGAAGTTCAACATCATCAAAGATGGAGAATACACGGTGGAGTTTGAAGAAGCCATGCGTCAGGACAACATCGACATTTTGAAGCTATTTGTTAAAAATTGCTCTAATTTTTTGGAAATTTCCGATTTGTGTGGTGAAACTGTGGCTCGACAGGCTATTATCTTAGGCAGTCAAAATATTTTAAATTATTTACTGGACTGTGGGGTAGATATTAATGTGGTCAACAACGACGATTCAAGTTTGCTTGAAATTGCCATGGAAATGAATATCCACCTTGCTGACCTGACCTTTAATCAAGAGCGGCAGGATCCATCGTCGGCAATGATCAAGGCAATTCAAGGTCACATTATTAAGCTATCTGCAGCCGGTGAATATGTCACTGAAAAATATTTAAAAGCTGTGGATGGCGAGCAGTTTCAATCATTTCGTGAGAAGTGCGAAAAGGAAATTGCTGAGATGAAAATCCGAAAAATTAGAAGCTTAAATTTAAATTATTTTAGTGTATTTAAGAAGAATGTACATAAACTAGCTGTAGGTTTAACAAATTTAGATTGTATCGATAAGGACGAAATATTAGCCGAATTTCCAGTGTATGGTGGCTATATATTTGAAAAATTAAGAAGAGCATTTGATAGAAAAGAGCTGCTCAAAAATGCAGAAGTTTTGTATGATATTTTTTATATGGATTTACCTTCCTTAGTTGTAAGAAATATTTTCAATTATTTGAGTGATTTTAATTTAAGAATTTTCTCTGAATAATTGTATAATATGTATAAATAATATTGTAAATATATGAATATATTCTAGATTAAGTATTTTTAATTTGTTTAATGTAAATAATAAAAATTAACTATTTAATCATAATTATTGTAATTTTCTTATCCTTTCAACTCTAAAAAAATTTTTTTTATAATTTCAGTACTAAAAAAAAAATTGTCAAATTTTCTAAAATAAAAAAAAATTTTTTTTTTTTTTTTTTTCAATTAAAAAAAAAATATAAAAAAAATTCGGTCTTTTCCGGGCTGCGCGGGAATAGTTGTCAAATTGAATGAAGTATTTTTTGAGAAATAAAAAAAAAAAATGACGTACTATGAGAAAATAACGATTTTACTCGAAAGACCCGGATATTTTCCCGAATTTATCGTCTTCTATTTTTTTTGTGTATTTTTTCAAAAAGTACATTCAAAAACAAAAATTTTCAAAAAAAGGTACCCAAAGGTCAATCAATATAAAAAAAAGTTATGGCTATTTGAAAATAAAAAAGCCATTTTTTTGAAAAATTCATAACTTTTTTTGGGTTGGACAAAAAAAATTTTTAAAGAATTCTCAAAAATGTTTTTCAAAGGGTAGAAAAGAATGATAAAGTTTCAGCTAAATCTAAAGGAGTCGAGTTCAAAAGTGGTCGGATTGGCATTAAATACCCCATTTATAAGTCATATTCTATACGAAATACAGCCTGTCAAAAATCATTAAATAAATCGAAAATATTATCTGCTTTTTTAAATTTTGAGCGACATGTCTTCTTATTATAATTTTTATTAATCAAGTTCCATTTTTAAATTTGAATTCCGTTTACTACACCTCTGTAATTGCGTGTATTTGCATGATTTTAAAACTTTTAATTTTTTATTTTGATTTTTCCCGGTAAAAAAAATTATAGTGAGTCATCCGGGGTGCGGGCTTAAACACACCATAATTGTTAAATAACCTGGATTTTACCGAATTATTTTAATTTTTAACTTATTACACTTGAAACGAGGTAAAAAACTCTACAATAATTTCATTAAATAAGTAACATATAGTTTAAGAAGAAATCAAATGATATAAAAATTTAAATTACAATAATGGTTTTAAAACATTTTTTAAACTTCAATTATTTTGTGAGCTGGTTGTTGATTAATTAGGGAGTTATTTACGTAATTAGTAATCACCTCGGCATATTGCTACCAAAAAAAATAAAGCACAAGCTTGAATTAGCGATGCCATCGTTTAAAAACAATTTAAATCACTTCTCACTCGTTTACTGACTAATAATTTATAAATGTCTTCACTGTTTTTATACCATCTGACAAACAGCTATTAAAATTAACGATAAGCTTAAATAGTTCAATACAGTCTGTTATATCACTGCTATTATTAGGTCACGGACAATGTCAGATGTTTCTTTATTGTGATAACTGCAATTTTTTCTCAAATGTTTTAAACTTTTCTTGATATTGAGATATTTTATCGATATAGTTTGCAAAACAAAGTGTGCATTCTCCTCATTTTTTTTTTTTTTCATTGAAAAAACGTGACTGTAATTAATCATAAATTTTTCAATTCTTTTTAAAAATTGAAAAAAAAATAAAATGATTCCATACTCTGTCAGTTTAGAAAATTTCTAATTGCATTTATAAAATATTTATTCTGCTTAGTAATTTAATTATTTAAATAAAAATAAACAAATAAACAGTTATTTTAGAATAAAAATATTCTTTATTGCATTTCAAATTAATAAGAAAATATTGTTTAATTATACAATTATAAGTAGTAAATAATGAGTGTAATAAAATTCAAATCCGTTCCGAAACTTCTTTTGTCTTACTTCTGCCAATCTTAATCTTCAGTTTAGTGTCTCAAGTAGTTCTAAAACCAAGCTGTAAGAAAAAAAATTAAGAAGATATTAATTAATTCATCTATTTCTATTAAAAATTACAAATTTTTTTTCAACTAATGTGATGTTCTCTTGAGAGTTTGGATTACTAGTGGAGTAAACTTTGACGTTATCGAATGCACATGCGTACCATCCACTGTCACCAAAATCTACAGATTTCTTCTGTAAGGTATGTTCAATTAAGCCTCCCTTGACCGTATGAACCCGTTCAACAGCTTTAATGTCTGATCACTCTAAAAATGATATCGTTATAAATGACTCAAATTTTCATCTTTTTCAAAATAAAGACTTACCGGACCATTTAAAAACATGAAAAATTTTATTTCTCGATGGCCAGTGCATTTAAGATTCAATTCTTGTTCTAATTTTATTTTGATCTCTTTTTTCTGTGGGTACAACTTTGGGACTTTGGCTGTTGAAATATAAAAAAATTATCTTAAGGTAGTTGTCATGGTACAATATTGTCAAAAAATTAAAGATTGTACGCGCCGCAAAAGTATATGAGCTTGTAACTAAGTCCGACTCCGTAGATATATACTTTTTCATAAATTGTTGAACTTTAATCCGTTATTTATAAATAGTTAGACGGTCAAAAATTTTTTTTTATTTTTTTTTTTTAACTCACAACAAATACATTAAAGGATTGTCAGTTTTTTGAAAGTTTCTGATAGTTAGTTTTTTTTTTTTATAACTAAAAAACTGGTACAGAACTGCAGAGAGCGTATGCAATAAATGTTAAATATCCAATTTTTAATTGAATTCATCTCGGGTTATAGGTGGTTAATCGACTTCAAATTTTAAGGGTAATTCGGCTGCTCAATTTCAAAACACAGTAACTAACATTTAAAAATTTTTTTCAAATTTTCTTATTAAAAAAAAGTTTGCCCGCCAAATTAATGACAAATTTGATTTATGAATAGAAAATACTCAAATATTAATATTTTTAAGAAAAAATACTTGAAATTAAGGTTTAAAAGTTATAAAAGATGCAGCAATACTAAAAAAAAAATCAGGTATAAAAATTTTGCAGTTACTGTGTTTTAAAATTGGATAGCCGAATTGTATCATCATGTCCTTAATAAGTATACAAAAATATATTTTATATATATGATATTTCTGATATTTTTAAAATATACAAAATATATAAAAAATTCATGTGGGTATTTAAATGAAAGGTCTCGATAAGGGTGACATCAGGATGAGCTTATATCTTTAAAAATATCATTAGGTGACGAGATACACTGTAATTTCTTAATTCTAGATATTTTTAAAGATATAAAGAGAATTCATCTCGGGTTATAACATTACCATGAACGTTCACGTAGATCCAATTGACGTCGGATTGATTGCGTTTATGAGTGTCAACTTCAATTGTTTCATCTGCACAACCATACCATCCCTTGTCGCCAGGTAAAAGTGATTTTTTTCGTATAGTATATTTAAAAGAACCCTCTTCGACTCCTCCGATCGAAGTCAACGACAATTCGATTTTAGAGCTATAGCAGCCGTCTAAAAATTTTAACACAGTTAATTATTTATTTATTTTATTTATTCCTTTAACGTACAATTTGGCAAGAACAACGATATTATCAAAGCTACTATACGTGACGGGACAATTAAGAAGGAAATCATGATAAAAAAAAAAAATGCCATTCGGCCTCACCCGAAATGGAAGGTAGATTTCATGTGATATGAGATTTTCTTTATTTATGTTATTTAATTTGTTCGATAACATGTTTAAGTAATTTTTTAATTTTCAATCCGCTATAACTTTTAAACGATTTAACCGATTATCACGTAGTTGACAACAGTCGATGCAGTTTTTTGAATTCTATGATAAATTTCAAACCGTGAATAGATCAGATAAAAAATTTCGGACTTTGTTTGAAAAAAACGCTTTTTTTGGATTTTTTTCGTCAACGATATCTCACAAACGAATCAAGCGATTTTGACCGGTCCAGCGGCGATCGACGTAGTTTTTTGATGTTAAGAGCTGATTAGTTTTTGGTATCGGTCGATAAAGCTGTTCAAAAGTCATTCTAAAAAAACCACATTTGAAAAAAAGTTCTCATTATTTTAAAATTTTTGAGTGGCCTATAAAATTAATAAAAATCTTCCTAAAGTATAAGTGTTATAGGTCAAATTGAAGGAAATATAATCAGCTTCACCATGAAGTTTTCAGAAATGAGCTCTTTTCTATCAGTCAAAAGTTATTCACGGTTAAAGTTACAATACTTGAAATTTACAAAATTTTGAAAATTTTAAATGGCCGCCATTTCTAAACTAATTGACCGATTTTGCTCATCTTCAAACTCGACCTCGGTAATTACCCAAATAATATGTGTACCAAGTTTCATCAAGATCGGTTGAAAACTTTTTGAGATATCCTGATGACAAGGCTGGTTATATTACATACATATATAAATTTTTTAACCAATGGTATTTTTGGAACCTACTCGACTAATTATAACATATAATAGCAAAATCAGGTGAAAATTCCACCATGAGGACTAATGCAATAGTTAGATTTCTAACAAAATCTACCTAAAAAGCAAACTAAAACCACCGGTGTACATAAACCACGATCTAACTCCGCAAGAAAGTCTTATCTCCAAGAAACTAAGGGATGAATCTCGCCGTTTGAAACTTTTGAACAAAAAAGTTAAAACTAGTAACCTCAAGATCACGGTGGACGGTATTCGCTGGGTGCGTAAGGCATAGTGGGGGACACAAAACTGATGTCAGCGTCTGCTGCGGACAATACAGAACTAAGGGTGGCTCTTTATTACTAAAAGCTATGAAAATAACACGTGTGTTAGTTTAATTAAATAAATAAATAAAATATAATGGGTCATCAACATTGTTGTGTAGTTGATTGTAAAAATACTAATAGAAATAGTAATTGTAAATTTTACAAATTTCCGGTTGCCAATTGGAAATTGAATCAGCGAAAAAAATGGATAGCTGCTGCTAAATATCTCTCATATGTTCAGCCAGGACTAAATTTTTATCCTTTATTAAAGTTTGTGGTTGAAAAATAATATTATTGGTAATAAATTGCAAAATTAAATAAAGAAAATAAAAATTTCAGATACATTCGTAAATATATAATTATGTTAAATAGCTATTCGTTATTTTTTATATAATTTCAGATTGTTATATATTTAATATTAATACTGATTTTTTATTTAATATTAATTTATATTCTCTATCATCAACCAAGGCGCTATATACACGCATACCTCTGCGAAGCTATCACTTTGAGAAATAGTAATAGTTCGTCTCTGAATATCTGACACACTTTACATTTATTCTTGTCCATGTTCTTCCTTTTTGCATATTTTATAATACTTTAAGTGTTTCATTTCTCCAAATTATATGTATTAACTGTTAAAATTATGCGCAAATTTTTTCTTTTTTTTTTTTTTAATATATCTTAAAATGTGTAATGTAGTTTTTTAAACATACGATGATTCTATATAGCTAGACAATTGTATTGTACCGTACATCAAGGAGAACACAGTTAATTAAAATAAAAAATAGTTATAAATATAAGTAAAATCCTTGAAAAAACTAAGGAATTAAATTTGTTTTTTTTAAATTCTTGTGAGTAGTATTCAAATTTTTTAAATAATTTGAAATGTCAAAAATCATATAATCTTTTAATTATTTTGGTTAAACAGAAATCAGTCCAGAATTATAAACTTACGGGATCATCGTAACCAATGTGAAAATCCAGTTTTTTAATACTACCCCATGAACATGTGAGTTCCAATGGATCGCCTTCATTTTTCACAAGAACCGATTTTGATGGTTGCAATTCTGGTTTCTTACCTATTAAACAGAAAATATAAATTAAGTTATTAAAGTTATTAAAAAAAAAAATCGATTTATCGATAAAATCTTACTTATAACATAGACGCGAATCCAACTAACATTTGGTTGTTCTTTATTAGTCTTATCAACTTTAACATTTTTGTCTGCGCAACCATATCAGCCATCGTCACCGAGAATTAGAGATTTCTTTTTGAAATAATGGGAATGCTGTCCTCCAATAACCGCAAAAGTTTCTTCAGTACTTCTAGATCTTTTTTTCTGTAAATAAAAATTTATTGTCAATTAAAAATTAAAATTATTGTAATTTAATTTTAAAAATATATAATTGATCTAATAACTTACAGGATCCTCTAAGTCGGTGTAGAAAACCATGGGCTCGTCACTTGTACATTTGAGAGTCAGCGATTCTTCTACTTTTTTTATAATCTTCGACTCTGACGGTGTTAAAGTCGGTGGTTTTGCTGTTGTTTAAACAATGAAAATTAATCTAGCAGATATTTTATAATTTTAAGAATTTTTTTAACAAATAAATTACGTCAAAGAAAAGAAGAAAATAAAATTGACATTTAATGAAAATTGAGTTAGCTGACATCTAAAATTTCTTAGAATTTTTTTTTATTGAAAAAATTATTATAAAAAAATAAAAAAAAATTTTTCATTTGTAGAAAACTTGAAAAATTATAAGTGCAATTTTCAAAAAATATTTTTTAGTTTTAATTTAATAAATTAAAAAAAAATCAAAAAGTCAAAATATCGGTTAACTTTAGTATTATTGAAATTTAAAAAATTAAAAAAATAATAATGTAACTTTATGACATAAAAGTTAGCTGTCACTTGATCAATTTTTAATTTTATTTAACAATTAAATTAATTCTAAAAAATTATTTTTAAAAAATTACATTTTTAATTTTTTTTTAATTTCTAAAAGTCAATTTTTTTTCCCGTAATTTATTTGTTAACAAAAATTCTTAAAATTATTAAATATCTGCTAAATTATATCTTCCCAAATCTAAAAAAAACATTTGAAAAAAATGAAAATTAATTCAGCAAACATTCATTAATTATAAAAAATTTTTTTAACAAATAAATTATAGCAAAAAAAATTAGAAGAAAAAATTCACATGTAGAAATTTTGAAAAATTAAAAATGCAATTTTTGTAAAATAATTTTTTGGAACAAATTTGTTTGTTAAAAAAAACTTTTAAATGATCAAGCAACTGCTAACTTCAATGTCATGTTTAAACAAAATATTTTATATTTTTAATTATCAATTGTTGTATAAGAAATTCAATTGTTACAAGTTTAATAATTGAAGAAATACCTTGACAAATTGAAATAAGAAGAAACAAAGCACTAGCTTTGAGAAGAAGCGCCATTTTTACGGATAACTTAGTTTACTTCTCACAAGAAATAAACTGAATAACTTCACAAATATCTTCAGTGTATTTATACCTTAAAAACTGAACCCGGAAGAACAGAAAACTCGTAAACAAATTATTTGATTGATAGAAACACCATGGTCATAAGTGAAGGGCAATATTTATAACGCATTTTCAACAATCTTCGTCTATTATTATTTTTAAATGGAGATATATAAAAAACTATAATAGTATACAATGAAAAAAACCTATTTATTGAATTTAAAATTAACAATTATAAAACAAGATATGTACACATGTTTTTTTAATACTCGAAGATCCAGTCTTGTGATAAATACACTGTATTAAAAAAAGAACTAACTAAAAAAATTATTTTTTGACATTTTCACAGGGATCTGCGCGAACTGAATTAACGTCAACATTTATGACACTGACGTTTCCATCAGGACAACTATTTCTGTGATCTCTCGAGGGTTTAGAGACTGAAATTTTCTCAGTATCCTTCAAGCTGACATTCATCGATTTAGTGCTGTCACTTTTAAGAAGCGTGAATTTTTTTAAATTAACATCTTCTTCAGAGGGAATTATCTCTTTGCGCAGAAATTTTTTATTTATTATCTTGTCGCTTTTATCCAGTATTACTTCGTCGAGAAGATCGTCTTTGGAGCAGCACTGAGACTCGATGCATCGTTTTCCTCGACAACGGATCAGGCAATCTGACTTGCTGACTTCTTTCATCTGTAAGTTATTTAGAAATTTATTTATTATACTGAAATTTGCTGACAGGTGTCAATTTTTTAAATTTTTATAACAATCTAATTGCAATAAAAAATATAAAACACTGACATTAGAAATTTTTTGTATAATTTTATTTTAATAATGAAATTATTATAAAAAAATTTTAATAAAAAAATTCCCCATGTAAAAATTAAAAAAAATTATTACTGAAAATTTTTTAAAGGATTTTTTTAATGACATTACAGTTAGTAGTCACTTGACTATTTTTTAATTTTATTTAACAAGAAAATTTGTTCTAAAAAATTATTTTTAAAAAATAACATTATTTAATTTTTTAAATTTCTAAATATTGAATTTTTTTTCATTTTTTTTGTTATCATTTATTTGTTACAAAAATTCTTAAAATTACTAAATATCTACCAAGTTATTTTTGTATTTTTTTATTCTTATTAGTTTTTTATAAAAATTTAAATAATTGACAGCTGTCAGTTAACTTTAGTATCATAAAAAAATGCTTTAAAAAATTTCCATTACTTAATTATTTTTTTTTTATTTTCCATGTGGAATTTTTTTATTGAATTTTTCTCATAATAATTTATGGCCAATTTTTCAATCCTAGATAAAATTTTATCTGGTGCCAATATATATCTATATACTTTATGTTTATAGATATACTGGCAATAATAATTTTATCCTGGATAAAATTTTATTTCAGGTTGAAAAGCTGGCCCTTAACTGCTATAAAATTCTAGAAAAATTTTTAATTTTAGTTAAATTCATTGTCATGATTCATGATACTGAAATTCAATTAGCCGACGTTCAACAATTTTTTATTTTTTTTATTAATTAAATTAGAACTAAAAAAATATTTTTAAAAAATTGCACGGGTAATTTAAACAATTTTCTACATGTGAATTTTTTTTTAATGCTTTTTAAATAAAGATTTTTAATAAAATACATTATAAAAATTTTCAAATGTCGGCTAATTTAATTTTCATTTTATTATCTTATTTATTTGTACGAATCTCTGTTAAAAATTTTATACTTAATTTAATAATTACTTTTTGGAATTCAGGTTGAATTGTCACGTGCGTTATTCCCATTTCCGTGAAAAATGCCGTCACTTGATCGATTATCACCGAGTAAACCTAAAAAATAAATTAAAATTTTGTCATCATGATGCAGCTTTAATTTATGTGAGTAATTTATTGTAAAATAATTATTACCGTTTGATCCAAAAATATTATATGAATAGTAGAAACTATTTTTTCACCAGCCAATTGCCAGACATGGAAATCGTGGACATTAACAATTCCCGGAAACGCTGCGAGTAATTCTTTTTTCAGTGAATCAATATTTATATGATTAGGAATTGTTTGCAGTAAAATTAATCCAGATTCTCTTACTGAAAAAAGAAGAAGAAAATTTTGATTATTTATTTTTAAAAAACTTTATAATAAATAAAAATATAAAATACTTACAGTACGGATAGCTCAAAGCAAAGAGAGAAACTGAAGAAATTATTGCAAAAATCGGGTCAAAGAATTTAGCTAAATGAGCGTCTGTGAGATAAACTAGCAGAGAATTGACAACAACTAAAATACATCCAAGAACATCTCGACACATTTCTTGGAATCCTTGTCTCCTTGGAATCGCCAGTGGACTTCTTCTAGTTGGATTAGCGAGTCTCTGTTCGTCTGTCGCGTTCTCTATGCTTCTAGACAGACAAATAAATAAAGTAAGTAAAACGTTTAAAAATTCTATTAAAGTTTTATATTATTTATTATATTAATTATACTAGCAACCTTGCAGTCACTATGAGACTGCCGTGACTTGTGAACTATAAATAAATAAAATTTTGCTTTATTAAATAATGACTTTTGTTAAATTGCACTGTAATTTTTTAACTATTGACGTTTTTAAAGATATAAGCTCATCCCGATGTTACACTCATCAAGAGCTTTCATTTGAGTACCCACATGCAGTTTGATATATTTTTCATATATACATATATATAATATATATAAATATATGTAAAATTGATGTGGGTACTCAAACGAAAGGTCTCGATGAGTGTAATGTCAGAGTGAGCTTATATCTTTAAAAATATAATTAGTTGACAAGATACAATGTCATTTCTTAATTATTGACATTTTTAAAGATATAAGCTCATCCCGATGTTACACTCATCAAGAGCTTTCATTTGAGTACCCACATGCATTTTGATATATTTTTCATATATACATATATATAATATATATAAATATATGAAAAATTGATGTGAGTACTTAAATGAAAGGTCTCGATAAGTGTAATTCCAAGATGAGCTTATATCTTTAAAATTGTCAATAGTTCACGAGATACAAAGTCATTTCTTAATTATGTATCTAGAGATAGAACATTTTCGAATGCACTGGCTACAAAATTTTGCTTATTCTCTTAATAATATAGATTAAATTAGATAACATACTTCTGGAGGACGACATTTCCATCTTTGGTCACATGAAGCAGCAGTCCTTGATTGAATGTATATCCGCCGATAATTATATAGCAAAACGCATTGAGAAGTATTCCGGAGACTCCAATACACATAACCGGGACCGGATGATGCATTTCATCGAGATGGTCAATGTGAATGAGAGTTTGCAGCGCTTCCACCAATAACGAGAAACAAAACGAAGCGAGAAGCACGCAACACATAAGCATCGTCAGGATATCAATCCTCGCCCATCCAAATGTATTCTTCATTCTGCTATCTGAGCATGAGTGCTGAAATTAAATTAATTTATTAATCATTGGATTTAGATGTAAATAATTACAATTTACACTTACTTTAGATTCAGATGCTGAAGGATTTTCATTCTCTTTAATACAAATAATTGAGTCTTTTGAGTTACGGTCTCTCCGGCATTTATCTTGCTTACCATACTGTAAAAAAATTAATTGTTCAGTATAATTATCTGGTTAATTAAGTATTCAAAAGCGTAAATACTGTTTTAAATAAATCTTGACGCTTGGAAAATATTTAATGTTTAGTAAGTATGAGAAGAATACTGTAATTTATTTATTTATTTATATATATCATACGCCAATCGGGATTACACATCGAAAATTAATACAGTAAATAAGAGAATAATAGAATACATACGTAGAATACAATTTTTTTATCACCTCATTTAATTTGTCGTAGGGGATATGGTAAAAATATTTATTATCTTTTATGACCTTGTTATTGATAGGTTCATCATCATAAAAGTTAGTAGTATATAATGAAATTTGAGTAATAATACATGTGTACCGTTTGTTGTAATATAAATTTAAAAAAAAAAGTGTGTCAGCTCCGACGTACGACTGGAATTTACTCCTTACGAACGATTATAAAATAAATAAATTAGTTAATAAGGGTAAATGAATGTATTTCTTATATTACTTAGAGTATGCATGACACATCTATAGATTGATTTTTATTCATTGAGTAATTTTCTCAATTTTAAAATAAATACAATTGATATAAATTTATATTTATATCAATTATAAATAAAATATAAAATTTACGATAAAACCTCCGCAACATTTACAATTTTTAATTTTACGGAAATTCAATATTTAAAATAATATTGTTTGAGAAATGACAATCTTTTTAAATTTCAATATTTTTTTTCGTTTATTTGTTTCTTTGAATTATTCTTTAGAATCATTTTTATAAATTAGCTTATGTCAGATTGGCATTATTTTATTAATGCAGCATTTTATTTGAATTATTTATTTTTAAGTGACTGTTTTTTTAGATGTTCTTTTTCGAAAATTCGTGGATTTTTTCTTTGTCATTTTTTACTTTACGCTCAATTTACACTTGGCGTTATATTCTTTTTGCCCACATTAGCAGTCTTTTTTTTAGGTTTAATAAATTTGACAAAGGGCATAATTTTAGATTTTCAACATTTAGACTTTAGAAACGGCCGAATTTACAATTTTCAATTCAACTATAAATTTGAATACCTATTTGAATTAATGCGCGCGGCTGTATATATTATATACCTATATATTTTATACAGTAATAAGTTATTACTAATAACTAATAACATATATAGGTATACTTAATGCGTAAGCTGACCCGCAACATACCCCGTGAACGTTTGAATGCTCGCGCCTAAAAAGAGAAAGTTTGCGCAGAATAGAGGTTGCGCACCAAAAACGTAACGAGGTCATTCATCAGTAGATTTTACCCCTCATATTTTTCTCATACCGGGCGCCTTATATATGAAAATCGACTCTTAAGGAGTAAACTCCAAAAAAATTTTATTTTATCAAGATTTTTGAATTTGAAAATTAAATATGAAAAAAAAAATATATTAATTTTTTAAAATTAATTTATTATCTTAAATTTTTGAATAAAAATTTGAATTTTATAAATTTTTATTCAAAAATTAAAATTTTATAAATTTTTTTTCAAAAATTTAAATTTTATACATGTGTACTGTTTGTCGCAATATAAATTAAAAAAATTTTATTTTATCAAGATTTTTGAATTTGAAAATTAAATATGAAAAAAAAATATATTAATTTTTTAAAATTAATTTATTATCTTAAATTTTTATTCAAAAATTTAAATTTTATAAATTTTTATTCAAAAATTTTAATTTTATAAATTTTTATTCAAAAATTTTAATTTTATAAATTTTTAAATCTGAAAATTAAAAAAAAATCAGATTTGTTTAAAATCAAACCAGTTTTTACATTTAATATGCCGTAGAGTAAAACACAGTAAAAAAAATATTATCTTCATTTTTTTTTTTTTTTTTTTCAAATTTTTATTACAGAAAATAAATAGATGAAGCACTACTTATATATAATCATCACTATAAAAATTATTAATTAACAATAAAAATTTCTAAGTTTATAAATTAATAAAATCTAATAAATTTTCAGCTTAAAAAAATTCAAATGAAAAGAAGAAATCGAGACTAGCAAGTACATTAAATAAGAGTAAACTCACCTTGACAGAAGCGATGCATCCGACTAATGCAACAATATTACACAGCATGTGATAAGCATTGAGTAGTAGAGTAAGTGAATGTGTCACATGGCTGGCTATTATTTCGATTATGAAGAAGGTGCTCGTGAAGAAAAGCACCAGGTATAGCTGGACTGGCTGCAGTTGTCTGAACCATTCTTTCACAGCCATGACCTTACTGTTTTTTCTTTTTTATTTTTTTTTATACTCACTATTAAATAAAATCACAAATACTAGATACTAGATACTAGATACTAGATACTACCTCAGTAGTCGCCGTAGCAAACAAGATGAGAGTAACGTCGTCTTCGTTTTCTTCTATCTACCGTTCACCAGCTCACTTCCTTTTTCTCTCGGTCCTCCTGGTAGTCTACCTTATTTTTAAATTAAAAAAAAATAAATAAAATCACTGATTCAACGCGATAATATTTCTGTCCCATACCCCACCCACTGTTTTTATTATAACTATCATTTTATTAAATTCAAACTATTCCCACTGTATTTAATTATTCGATCCGCTGATTTTAAAATTACACAAAAATTTACAGCTAATTTTAACTTAATACTTCACTAATTACAAATTTAAATTTATTCTTTCAGATCATTATTCTTAAATAAATTTGCTTGCTATAAAAAACTGAAATTCGACGAGGAGTATTAAAAAGTATGTTATTAAATTAAAAAAAAAAAAAAAATGTAAGTCAATAATTACAGTAAAATTAAATTATAATTGATAACTTACTAATTTTTTAATTTTTTTAGATTGAACTGAACAATTGTAACAAGATACAGAGAATAAACGGTGAATGATGTCGTACTCGAGTCTCAGTGACAACTAAACTACCGAATCTTCTTATTCTTCAACGCTCGTATTCATTTTATTAGATATCTCGTGAACTTTACTTCTTCTTAGTTTAAGATACAATATCAAGGGTGCACTTATTATTATTAGTAAGTAAATAATCTAAGTACATTGACTCGTGACTAATTTTCCAGTAATTAATTTAAAAAAAATATGACAAATTTTTTAAAAATTACCTCACGGGATAATTTATTCAGCGACCTTGGAGTAGCAATAAATATTTTAAAAGTATCCGATACTCAAATATAAAGAAGATAAATTGAAAAAACCTTTTTTTTAGAATTCTATAAATTATATTTCTAAAACTAGTCGCTCTATCTCGACGATAACGTCGATAATCGTGTGCTGAGATAAAAAGTAAAGAGTAAATATTCTGTTGAATATATTTATTTACATAGATATTTTTTTGTTTAACCATTCGAATATTCATAAGCTGGAAAATTAGAATCAATTGCATGCGTGTACTCTCGATAGTTATGTATGCGCTTGTATATGTATCTTCATGTATGTATATAATAAAATAATGATCAGATGTGTGAGAAAGGACAACTATATCAAAGCCCTAGTTGGCAACATCCGGACTCGGGCCATGAGGTTTTATTTTATTTTTTTTAATAGTTTATATTATAACTATCAACTATCTCAATGTGACTATTTAATAGATTTAATTTTATGTAATTAAATAATTACCTTATATTGTGTACGACGTGATTTTTTTTTCGAGTGGGCGCTTCAGTAGAAATTTATTGTTGATAATTAACGATTAAATGACTTCTATTTTATTATTAAGAATTTACTTTTGATAGCATTGAATATCTTTTTATAAATCATTTCACTCGGCTAATCTTTATTACAGATAATCACTTTATTGTTTTATGCTGTCTTATCTAATTATTTATCTAATTTATTTTCCGATTAATTAAATTTTTTTGTTTTTACTTATAGGATTTATCAAAAAGAAGAAATTAGAAAAATTTTTACAGCAGAACAATGGATTTTACTGATGAAGGATACACACGTAATTTCAATGAGTATTATGTACGCGATTCAATGGTAAATAGAAGATAAGTTACTAAATGATCTAGATTAGTTACGAGTATGCAAATTAAATTTTTTTTAAATGGTATTAAAGTTAGCAGTACCTTGACAATTTTTTAATTTTTTTAAACAAACAAATTTGTTACAAAAAATTATTTTTAAAAAATTGCATTTTTAATTTTTTTTGCTATAATTTATTTGTTAAAAAAATTTTTAAATTAATAAATGTCTGCTAAATTAATTTCCATTTTTTTAAATGTTTTTTTAGATTTGAGAAGAAAAATTGGATAATTTTTTAGAGTGAAAATTAAATATTTATTGAATAATTTTTGAAGAGGATTTAATTACCTGAGAATTTCTATGAGAGTTGATTAAAATTGCAATAAAAAAGTATTCGACTGTTTTTAATGGTATCACTTTTTAGTATCAATTTATAGCGGGGCTGAAAGATAAAAGTAGTAATCGAAAAAATAAAATAGTAAGTAATTTACAATCACTTCGTTTGACGTCTAATTTAATAACACGATTGGAAACAGCAAACAATTTAAAAAGTTACCGTTTGCCGTGTCTGATTGAAGGTATGACTAATTGTAAACAAACTAGTTTATGAGATAAATTATATAATGGATCAAATAATTGTTTCCGAGCGATTTTATATACTTCAGTACTTTATTTCAAATTTGAATTGTAAAGTTTATGATAATTATTATATGAATATGAAAATTAATTAATTTAAATTTAAAAAAGCTTGATAAAAAAGTAAATTGTTAGATTTCTTCTTTGTTGCAAAATACCAACGGTTGTTAGTAAAAAGTGAGTACTTATCTTTAGTTGTAAATTATATTTTTTATTTTATCTGTCAATAATATATAAAAATAAAATCGTCTTATCAATTTTTTATTTTTTAATCAATTAAATAATTACTGATAAAAAGTATTTTTTATTACAGATTAAATAAGAAATGTAATAAAAAAAAAATTAGTTTAAAAAATTCAAATTTAAATTTCCCGCGCCGCAAAAAGATGGCAGCATTGTTGAAGACACGTGACTTAGCCGCCATTTTTCTAGACGGGAAAGAACCCTCTCCATCTCTATAACTTCTTTCACGTTGATTTCTTGAACTGAAATCATCAATTCATTTTTAGCGTTTCCACGTTTCGTGTCAATACGACTTAAAAAGTAAGTTAAAATTTTAAATTAATTGATAAATATTTTAAATACCCATCAATATAATATTTGCTCTTCTTAAATTAATAATTAAATCAAATGATTGCATTAAATTCCTGTAAATATTCCCGGATTACCGTTGAGCTTTAAGGCTATGTTGATCCAGTACACGTTGTTCCCTGAAACTAATTATTGCATTAGTAATTAATAATTTAACATGATGATTAAAATTTATCACCATCTTTCGACTGAGTGGCATTGATGATAATTTTATTTTCTGATTTAAATATTCATAAAAATTTTTTCACTCATTTTTAACCAGTTTTGCGAGTTTGTAAACTAATTACTTTTTTTTTTTACAGAATGCGTTACGTGGCCGCTTACTTATTGGCTGTTATCGGTGGCAAAGCCTCACCAACGCAAAATGACATCGAGAAAATCCTCTCATCTGTCGGAATCGAAGCTGATGCCGAAAAACTCAAGAAGGTTATCGCTTCCCTCGAAGGCAAATCCATCGAAGAATTGATCGCCGAAGGTAATCATCATTTTTATATAAATTTTATACTCTATGATATTAAAATTACGAAACGTGATAATTTTTTATGAAAATTAAATTAGCCGAAATTGAAAAATTTTTATGATTTATTTTGTTGAAAAATAATTTTTAAAAAATTAAAATTTTCACGTGTAGAAAATTTTAAAAATTATACGTGAAATATTTAAAAAATAGTTTTTTAATCCTATTATTAAATTTAAAAAAAAATAAAAAATTTTTGAGTCGGCTAATTTAATTTTCTTAATTTTTTTTTTACAAATAAATTATAGCAAAAAAAATTATTTAAAAAATTACATTTTTAGAAGCTCTAAAAAATTATAAATGAGATTTTTTTTTCATAATTTTCTATTTCTAATTTATTTTAAAAAATATGAAAATTAAGTTAGTCGACATTTAAAAATTTTTTAATTTTTTTTATTAAAAAAATGACTCCACAAAATGAAAAAAAAATTTCACTGGTAAAAAACTGTAAGTGCAATTTTTTAAAACTTTTTTTTGTTCTAATTTAATAATTAAAAAAAATTAAAAATGTCGGCTAACTTTAGTATCATAAAAATTATCAAGTGTCTTTTAACTTTAGTTTTTTTTTTTATAAAACTCATGATATTAATTGAAATTATTTTTTCAGGACGATCAAAACTGTCTTCGATGCCAGTTGGTGGTGGTGGTGGTGCTGCTGCTGCAGCAGCTCCAGCTGCTGCTGCTGCTCCCGCTGCTGAGGAGAAGAAGGGTACGTTATTTTTTTTTATTACATTATTAAAAAAATCTATTACAATATTTAGAATTTTTTTTAATTATAAAAAAATTTTAATTAATGAAAACATGATGCTACTTTTTCAACCATCTTTCGACTGATTTACTGTGTTGATTAATTTTTAACTGATTTTTCTTATAAATAATTAATTTTTATTTATTTTGTTATTTTCTTTTAACTAATTTTTTAATTGTGTAATTGCAGAGGACAAGAAAGCCGCCAAAGAAGACTCTGAGTCAGACGATGATGACATGGGCTTCGGTCTGTTCGACTAAAAACCTTCAAAAAATTAAACTATTCATTAGCATTAACACCTTTTGTTAATATAAATTTATACATTTGTTTCAATCCGCTGATGAATAAATAATTTTTTACTCTATTTGTATTTTGTCATTTATCCAGTAAATATTTAACCTATAATTAATAATATAAATCTAACAAAATAAAAATTAAGCTTACTGTATTTATAAGTAATTTAAAAATATAAAAAAAAAATCCACCACCGGCGTGATTAGATTCAAAGTGCAAGAAAGCCGTATCGCGCATTCGTCCGCGTCGTCGTGGCTTCATTCACACAGGAGTAAAGTGGGATACAAATCAAAACCCACTGTAAGACCTGAACCTAACAACTTAACGAGCATCATTTAGATGTATCACTGCGCGTGCAAATATAATTAATAAGACACCAGTCTATTAAACTCCAGTTTTCTCAGTAATTAATTTCCACCTGCACCAATAAATCCACCGAAATAAAAATCAGCAACCAGGTAAGACTCGACAGAAAAAAAGAGAATAAATATTTAAAAACCGGGACTACTTTCTTGACAGGGGCGGATAATGGCCGCCATTATAGATGTCAGCGGCGAGCGAGAGTGACGGCATTTGGTTTGCGTCAGTCGGTTTAGTGCGCGGATGAGTGAATAAAACATCATCACCGGGACTGCTGGGCCACTTGTAACTGCTTTTAACCGAGTTTATTGTAAAACTTTAGTTTTATTGATACAGTGTGAAGACACGTGATTATTTATAACATATATACCCACATCACTGGATATTTGTTAACGTTCAACATATATAATAATATCAGATAAAATGTCGCAGCTACTGCCCATAAGGTTTCAGGAACATCTTCAGGTAAGTGACCTGCTTTTTTTTTTTTTACTTTCATACTCTAATTATTTATTTATCCAGCACACAGATTATCATTATCAGTACCTAGAAGATACTTGATTCAGAGAAAGCTACTTTTTTTGATTTATAAATTACACCTGCCCCAATGATGCATCCGGGGCGTCGGATTCCCGATGGCTTACTAATGACGTAGAGTTGACAGCTATACTTTATTTCTTGGGCTTTAAAATTTAGAGTGATACTTTATATATTCTTCTGATATTTTATACCTACATCACATTATTATATACTCATCCATCCATATATATGTATATATATTATACATATAGATTACATATGTATAGAGCATATATATATATATATACATATACATATTATTAATCAAATTCCTGTTCTTCCTCTGTCCTCTCACTTTTTTTCCATACCGTCCATTGACTCATAGACATGAACGTGGAAATTTGTCGATCCTACTTCTTCCATCTAATCTCGATGTACAAAATCACATATGATTGCACCGAGTTATTTAATCAACACATCTTTTTTACTTTCTTTTTTGTTACTTTGACTGGAGTACCGGGTAGCCACGTCGATTTCATACGTACACACGCCCCTTGCCGCCGCCTACATTTATAATAATAATAATAATAATAAATATTATTATTATTATTAAAGTTTACGTTATTTTTTAAATTATGACATTATGAAGGTTGCTTTGAGATAAATTTTGAAATAAAAATCTGGGTGTCAAATAAATGATAATGATGATAAGACTTGCAGATGAAATATTTAACGAGAAAAAAATATTAATTTTTATTGTTTTTTTAGCTTACGGCGGTAGGAATAAACGCCAACAATGTCAGCTTCAATACACTCACTATGGAGTCTGATAAATTTATCTGCGTGCGTGAAAAAGTTGGCGATACATCACAAGTTGTTATTGTCGATTTAAATGACACTGCTAATCCAATCAGGAGGCCGATTTCCGCGGATTCTGCGATTATGAATCCGGCTAGTAAAGTTATTGCTTTGAAAGGTGAGATTCTGGGTTTTTTTTTTAAACCCTATCATAAAATTTTTTATAAATATTTAAATGAAAAATAATTGCCTTTTTTTTTTTTTAATTAAAAATTGTGTTGGGATTAAATTAAAAATAATTACTGAGTACTGTAGTACTATGCAATCAAATAAAGTTGTAATTAAATATTTATTTACTGGAAACAATGTAGAAAAGAGTTTTGCAATTTTTAATTTATTATTCTATAAAATTGAAGTAAGCAATTAATATTTTTGTTTGTAAATTAATTTTAATTTACTGCTAATAGCAATTAGTTTAACAAACAAACTATATTTCATTAGTCAAAAATAATTAATAAATCATATAATGTTTTTATTATTGAATTTTTGTAAAAATTATTTTCAAAAATAATCTATATTATTAAGAGAATAATAAAAATTTTGTGTCCAGGATAGTCATATGATAAAATCGGTTTTTTTTTTAGTGAAATTTAGTGTCACTGCAAAGGTTTTGACTTGAATTTGTGCCTTTTCAAGGTTTCATATCATTCTCAGCGATAAATTTATTACAATAAGTATTTAGGCTGCATTCGACAATGCTCAATCTCTAGATACATAGTTAAGAAATGGCCTTGTATCTTGAGAACTATTGACATTTTTAAAGATATAAGCTCATCCCGATGTTACACTCATCGAGACCTTTCATTTGAGTACCCATATCAATTTTTTCATATATTTATATATATTACATATATGTATATATGAAAAATTTCTGAAAATGCATGTGGGTACTCAAATGAAAGCTCTTAATGAGTGTATCATCAGGATGAGCTTATATCGTTAAAAATGTCAATAATTAAAAAATGACCTTGTATCTTGCAAACTATTGACATTTTTAAAGATATAAGCTCATCCCGATGTTACATTCATCGAGACCTTTCATTTGAGTACCCACATCAATTTTTTAATATATTAATATATATGTATATATGAAAAATTTATGAAAATGCATGTGGGTACTTAAATGAAAGCTCTTGATGAGTGTAACATCGGAATGAGCTTATATCTTTAAAAATGTCAATAATTAAGAAATGACCTTGTATCTTGTGAACTATCGACATTTTTGAAGATATAAGATCATTCCGTTGTTACACTCATCGAGACCTTTCATTTGAGTACCCACATCAATTTTTTTATATATTTATATATATTATATATATATATGTATATATGAAAAATATATACGAAAATGCATGTGGGTACTCAAATAAAAGCTCTTGATGAGTGTAACATCGGAATGAGCTTATATCACCAAAAAACGTCAATAGTTAAGAAAGTACAGTGCAAGCCAACAAAAGTCATTATTTAATAAAGCAAAATTTTATTTATTCATAGTTCACAAGTCACAGAAGTCACATAGTGACTGCAAGGTTGCTAGTTAATCATTAAAAAAAAAATTATTTTAACTTATAATAATGTTAAATGTAATTTATAATCACTCTAACAATATTAAATAAATTTCTAAAAAAAAAAAAAAAAAAATTGATTTCAGCTCAAAAAACCTTGCAAATTTTCAACATCGAGATGAAATCAAAGATGAAAGCCCATACAATGACAGAAGACGTAGTATTCTGGAAATGGATATCTCTAAACACCCTGGCTCTAGTAACAGATCAATCAGTATACCACTGGTCAATGGAGGGTGACTCGACACCAACAAGAGTATTCGATCGGCATGCATCATTAAACGGCTGTCAAATAATAAACTACCGTACAGACCCAAAGCAAACCTGGTTGCTGTTAATCGGTATCTCTGCCCAACATAATCGCGTAGTGGGTGCGATGCATTTATACTCCGTAGAACGCAAGTGCTCGCAGCCGATAGAAGGCCACGCTGCCTCCTTCGCGCAGTTCAAGATGGAGGGCAACGCCGAGCCTAGTAATCTATTTTGCTTCGCCGTAAGGACGACCCAAGGGGCGAAACTTCACATCATAGAAGTAGGTCAACCACCAGCTGGCAATGCTCCATTCCCAAAAAAAGCCGTGGATGTTTTCTTTCCAGCCGAGGCTAGTAACGATTTTCCGGTGGCGATGCAAGTCAGCTCCAAGTACGACGTTATCTATCTCATCACCAAGTACGGATACATCCACATGTATGACATTGAGTCTGCTACCTGTATATTCATGAACCGCATCTCCGGAGAGACAATTTTCGTGACCGCGCCTCATGAGGCTTCAGGAGGAATAATTGGAGTTAACCGCAAAGGTCAAGTCCTCTCGGTTTCTGTTGAAGAAGAAAACATAATCCCGTACATAAACGGCGTTCTTCAGAACCCAGAACTGGCTCTGAGGATGGCAGTAAGGAACAATTTATCCGGCGCAGAAGATTTATTCGTTCGGAAATTCAACATGCTGTTCCAGAACGGACAGTACGCAGAGGCTGCTAAAGTTGCCGCCAATGCACCCAAGGGAATTCTCCGTACTCCCGCTACTATTCAGCGCTTTCAACAGGTTCCCACGACACAAGGCCTGACATCTCCCTTGCTCCAGTACTTTGGTATCTTGTTAGACCAAGGACAGCTTAATAAATTCGAATCTCTGGAGTTGTGTCGTCCAGTTTTGGTCCAGGGCCGCAAACAATTGCTGGAAAAGTGGCTGAAGGAAGACAAGCTCGAGTGCAGCGAAGAGCTCGGGGATTTGGTTAAACAAGCTGACCCAACCCTTGCTCTAAGCGTATATTTGCGAGCAAATGTACCCAATAAAGTTATTCAATGTTTCGCCGAGACTGGCCAGTTCCAAAAGATTGTTCTTTACGCTAAGAAGGTGTCTTATACTCCGGATTACATTTTCCTGCTGAGAAACGTCATGAGAATAAACCCAGACCAGGGTGTGGCGTTCGCGCAAATGCTTGTACAAGATGATGAACCCTTAGCGGACATCAATCAGATTGTTGACATATTTATGGAGCAGAATATGGTGCAACAGTGTACAGCCTTTTTGCTGGACGCCTTGAAGAATAACAGACCGAGCGAAGGAGCTCTTCAGACAAGACTACTCGAGATGAACTTGATGTCTGCACCTCAAGTTGCTGACGCTATTCTGGGCAATCAAATGTTCACGCACTACGACCGCGCACATGTTGCTCAACTCTGTGAAAAAGCAGGACTTTTGCAACGTGCTTTAGAACATTATACCGATTTGTATGACATAAAACGCGCTGTTGTACACACGCATTTGCTTTCTGCAGACTGGCTTGTGGGATTCTTCGGAACTCTGTCAGTTGAAGACTCTCTAGAGTGTCTCAAGGCTATGATGACTGCGAATATCAGACAGAATTTGCAAATTTGTGTCCAGATTGCTACTAAGTATCACGAGCAGTTGACTACTAAAGCGCTGATTGACTTGTTTGAAAGTTTCAAGTCCTACGAAGGGCTGTTTTATTTCTTGGGATCGATTGTTAACTTCAGCCAAGATCAGGAGGTTCATTTCAAGTACATACAGGCGGCCTGTAAAATTGGACAGATTAAAGAAGTCGAGCGTATTTGTCGGGAGAGTCATTGCTACAATGCCGAACGCGTTAAAAATTTCTTGAAAGAGGCCAAGTTATCTGATCAATTACCGCTCATAATTGTCTGCGATCGATTTGACTTTGTGCACGACCTTGTTCTCTACCTTTATCGTAACAACTTGCAGAAATACATTGAAATTTATGTACAAAAGGTTTGTTATTTATTGCTTTATATTTTATAATTATACATGGAAAAAAGTAAACAGTAAAATTCACTCGGATTCTGGGTAATTTTTATAATTTTAAAATGTACAGCGGACATCGGGGTGGCAAAAACGTAAATATTACAAAATTTAAGCGGCAGGAACACTACTGTGACGGTCGAAAAAAAAAGTGATTTTCGGAAATTTTTTTAACAGGGAAAATAAAGGAATTTGGGGATCAGATTTTTTTTTATTATATTAAGGGTATATAAAAGATTATTACCCTAAATTTTTATTAAAAAATATTTAATTGTTACAAAGTTATTAACAATCTCGTAAAGCACTAAAAAAAATTTCCCCCTCCATGGTTGGATCAATAACTCAAAAATGGATCATCTGAAAATGAAAACCCAAATTGCTTTTTAATCAGTAAGGATGTAGTTTCGTTGCACGTACGGAATTTAAAAAATTTTGATTTTAAAGATTTTTTTTATCCGGGTTAAAACAAAAAAAAAAAAACACAGTAAAAATAATGAGAAAATTTTCAGTCGCCATTTTTTTGAAAATTAAAATTTTCAAAATTCCGTACGTGCAACGATAACTACATCCTTACTGATTAAAGTGCAATTTCGGTTTTTATTTTCAGATGATCCGTTTTTGAGTTATCGATGCGACCATGGAGGGGGAAATAACTTTGTAGTAATTTAATATTTTTTAATAAAAATTTAAGGCAATAATCTTTAATGTAACTTTGATAAAATAAAAAAAATCCGATCCCCAAATTCCTTTATTTTCCCTGTGAAAAAAATTCCCGAAAATCACTTTTTTTTTCGACCGTCACAGTGGTGTTGCCCCTTAATGTAAAAAGTGTAAAAGCCACAATTTATAATTAATATCAAAAATAATCCAAGCGTCACAAAAAAAAATGTTGACTTTTTGGGAGATTTTATTTAACAAGAAGTCAGAAATTTATAATTGTCAACTTAAATTTAATAAAATATCTCATCTTAAAAAATTACAGTTTCAAACAGTAAAAATTGCCATTTCAATACGCATTGACAAAAAAGATAGTACTAATGCTTTGCTAGAGCATTAACTTTACAAATGAGGTAAAGGAGAAGGTCTTACACTCGGAAATTTATTATTTGAAACAGTAAAAATTCTACTCTTAAAATAAATATTTTACCAGTCCAAGCAAATCAATAATTCTAGTTTGATTATTAGCGTTGCGTTTAAAATTTACCATTTTACTTTGTAAATATTGACGTTACTTGTATAGAAATTTAGTAACTGTATTTTATATTTTTTACATACCATGCGATCATTTTTTATTTACGAAATGATAAATATCAAAGTCAAAATTCTTAATTATTATACTTTAACCTTTTCGACTTTTACATAGTGAATATTACAATTTAAAGTAGTATTTTCATCTATGTAAAGAATAAATTGTAGCATTTAAATGATAAATATTATAAAGTGATTATTAAAATCACGATTTTACTGTTTAAAATAGTAATTTTTTTCACGTGATCATTACTTATTATAAATCGACAATTATTTATTACAGTTAACTTTTTTCCAAATTATATTTTAGTTGATATATAAATAATTAATTAAAAATAATAATTACAGGTAAATCCATCTCGTTTGCCAGTTGTTATCGGAGGACTTCTAGACGTCGATTGCTCAGAAGACATAATAAAGAACCTGATCCTGGTAGTCCGTGGTCAATTTTCCACCGACGAGCTCGTTGAAGAAGTAGAGAAGCGTAATCGCCTGAAGCTTCTCCTCCCCTGGTTGGAATCCCGCGTCCACGAAGGCTGTATCGAGCCGGCGACCCACAACGCCCTCGCTAAAATCTACATTGACAGTAACAACAACCCCGAGAGGTTCCTGAAAGAAAACCAATTCTACGACAGCCGTGTCGTTGGTAAATACTGCGAGAAACGTGACCCACACTTGGCATGCATCGCCTACGAGCGTGGTCAATGCGACCGTGAATTGATCAGCGTGTGTAACGAAAACAGTCTGTTCAAGAGCGAGGCCAGATACTTGGTTCGCCGCAGAAATCCTGACCTGTGGGCAGAAGTACTGCTCGAAAGCAATCCCTACAAGCGTCCATTGATCGACCAGGTAGTCCAGACCGCACTTTCAGAAACTCAAGACCCCGAAGACATTTCAGTGACTGTAAAAGCTTTCATGACTGCAGATCTGCCCAACGAGCTTATAGAAATTCTTGAGAAAATAATCCTAGACAGTAGCATCTTCAGCGACCACCGTAATCTCCAGAATCTTTTAATTTTAACAGCAATTAAGGTTGACCGTACTCGTGTAATGGAGTACATAAACCGTCTTGACAATTACGACGCTCCTGATATCGCAAAGATTGCAATAACCAGTAAGCTGTACGAAGAAGCTTTTGCAATCTTCAAGAAGTTCGATGTCAACACCTCGGCTATCCAAGTATTAATTGAACAAGTTGGTAATCTAGACCGTGCTTATGAATTCGCAGAGAGATGCAATGAGCCGGCAGTATGGTCTCAGCTCGCGCAAGCCCAATTGCAGCAGGAGCTTGTGAAAGAGGCTATAGACAGTTTTATAAAAGCTGATGATCCTTCAGCTTATGTTGATGTTGTAGAAACAGCTCACCGTACCTCTCATTGGGAGGATCTCGTCCGGTATCTCCAAATGGCCCGGAAAAAAGCACGCGAGTCCTTTATCGAGAGCGAGTTAATTTATGCTTACGCACGTACTAACCGACTTGCTGACCTCGAGGAATTTATATCTGGACCTAACCACGCAGACATACAAAAAATAGGAGACAGGTGCTTCGAGGATAAAATGTACGACGCTGCTAAATTGCTGTACAACAATGTCTCTAATTTTGCTAGGTTGGCTATCACACTGGTACATCTAAAAGAGTTCCAGGGGGCTGTTGACTCTGCACGCAAGGCTAATTCAACCCGTACGTGGAAGGAAGTATGCTTCGCTTGTGTTGACAGCGGAGAATTCCGCTTAGCGCAAATGTGTGGCCTCCATATTGTCGTCCACGCTGATGAGCTTGAAGATTTGATAAATTACTATCAAGATCGCGGTCACTTTGAGGAATTAATAAACCTGTTGGAGGCGGCTTTGGGTCTTGAGAGAGCACACATGGGAATGTTTACCGAACTTGCTATTCTTTACAGCAAATACAAGCCCCAGAGAATGCGCGAACACTTGGAATTATTCTGGTCCCGGGTTAATATTCCGAAGGTACTCAGAGCTGCTGAGTCCGCTCATTTGTGGGCAGAGCTCGTTTTTCTCTATGACAAGTATGAAGAGTATGACAATGCGGTCCTTGCTATGATGCAACATCCCACTGAAGCGTGGAGAGAGGGTCACTTTAAGGATGTAATTACTAAGGTAGCTAATGTTGAGCTCTATTACAAGGCTATTCAGTTCTATCTTGACTACAAGCCTTTGCTGTTGAATGACATACTGCTGGTGTTGTCACCAAGGATGGATCACACAAGGGCTGTTGGTCATTTCACACGAACTGGACACTTGCAACTGGTCAAACCGTACTTGAGATCTGTACAGGCGCTCAATAACAAAGCTATTAATGAAGCATTAAATGGATTACTCATTGATGAAGAAGATTACCAGGGTCTTAGGACGTCAATAGATGCTTTTGATAACTTTGATAATATTGCACTTGCTCAACAGCTCGAAAAGCATGAGCTTATTGAGTTTAGGAGGATTGCTGCCTATCTTTACAAAGGTAACAACAGATGGAAACAGTCCGTTGAATTGTGCAAAAAGGACAGACTTTTCCGGTATGTATTTTTTATTTAATTATCATTTTATATTTAGATTTTTTGATAAAAATTTTATTTTTTATTTTAGCAGTCGTTTTTTATTAAATTATATCTATGAATTTAAATTAATGAAATTTTATTTTTTAATAAAAGTTAATTTTCAATTTACAAGTGGGATCAACCCATGCTGGGTAATCTTAATTTTTTTTTAATTGTTCGTTTTTTTATGTACTTTAAAAAAAAAAAAATTAAAATAGAAATATTATCCAAAAACATGAAAGTCAATTTTTTTTCCAACTTTGAAAGGCAAAAAAGTTATTTAAATTTTTATTTTTTCCTTTCACGATATTTTTATCATAAATGCACTGTAAAAACAAGCAGCATAAAAAAAATTAAAAAATGTTAATTTTTCACCTGGTTATGGCCCAAAATGGGGTTGATGGCGTTGACCCCACTTTTAAATAATAACCAAAAGTTAATTTTCAATTTAAATGAATAATAAAATTAAGTAAAAATTTTTATTTATCATTTTATATTTATATTTTTTAATAGAAATTTAATCTTTTATTTTTACAGTGGCTTTTAATTAAATTATATCTATGAATTTAAATTAATGAAATTTTATTTTTTAATAAAAGTTAAGGTAATTATCTACAAGTGAGATGAACCCACGCTGGACAATGTTAATTTTTTTTTTTTTTTTAATCAAATTGATCAATTTTTTTTAATTGTTTGTTTTTTTATATACTTTAAAAAAATATATATAAAAAAAAAGATAAAATAGAAATTTTATCTAAAAACATGAAAGCCATTTTTTTCCAACCGTTAAAGGCAAAAAAAGCTATCAAAATCTTTATTTTTTCCTTTCACGATATTTTTTATCATAAATGCTCCCGTAAAAACAAGCAGAATAAAAAAAAATAATAAAATCTCACTTCTAAATAATAACCAAAGTTAATTTTCAATTTAAATAAATAATAAAATTAAGTAAAAATTGAATTTTTATTTATCATTTTATATTTCTATTTTTTAACAGAAATTTAATCTTTTATTTTAGCAGTGTCTTTTAATTAAATTATATCAGAATTTAAATTAATGAAATTTCATTTTTTAATAAAACTTAACTTTCAATTTAAATAAATAATAAAATTAATTAAAAATTAAATTTTTATTTAAATTACAGAGATGCTATGGAGTATGCTGCAGAATCTAAAAACGCTGAGGTAGCCGAAGAACTACTAGAATGGTTCCTAGAAAGAGGATCTAAAGATTGTTTCGCTGCTTGCCTATTTTACTGTTACGATCTTCTCCATCCTGATGTTATTTTAGAACTCGCGTGGAAACACCGTATCATCCCCTTCGCAATGCCCTATCTTATTCAAGTTATGCGTGAATACATAACTAAAGTATGTATTATTTCATATAACATAATATATTCATCTAATAATAATAATAATAATTTAATTAAATTCTTCTAATCATTAATTGAAAATTTATTCAAAAGGTTGACAAATTAGAAGAGGCTGAAAGCAGACGCGCAGAAGAAACCAGCCACGAAGAACACAAGCCCATGATTATGCGTAAGTAATTACAGGATAATTCCTTGAAAGTTCAATTAATTAATTACATTTAAATTAATTCACAGCGGAGCCACAATTGATGCTAACAGCCGGTCCAGGAATGATGGCTCCAGGTTACGCGCCTCAAGCCGTTTATACTCCAGCTCCCGGTGTGTACGCACCAGCAGCAGCGGCGGCTTACCAAGGCTATGGTATGTGAAACGAATTTAACCAAACGTTTCACACAACAGCAACCATTACTGATCAACACCTTATGCAGTTTTGCTAGAACAGTCTACCGTTTAGCTCTTAGTCGTTCTCTGCTGGATTAATTGCAGTTTACGTACAGCGACAAATAATTGAAAAAAAAAAAAATAATAATAATAATAATAATAATAAATAAAGTATAGTCGTGATTGGTTAAATACGCAATGTCAGGAGTTGATGACATGAATCTGCAGTCATATAATAAAAAAAATCATTTATATCATTTAAATTTATCACAGATACAGAGTTATACTAATAGAAGCCACGCTAAAGTTTGTTTGTTTTTTATTTCTCTTATTTGTTATCCCATTTATTGATAAATAACTATTTTAATTAATAGTATTGTAATCAATAGACCGATCCTGCTTGTGCCGGACGCTGCCGATTTAAAAAAAAAAATAAATAATAATAAAAATTAATGTTATACTATATCTGACTGTAATTACGAATATTCCAGTACAAAGATTTAAGAGAGAATAGGACAAAAATTCATATACATTAATATTATAATTATTATTATTAATTACGCTTTGTTGAATTATCTATTTTTTAAAATTTATTATTGCACGTTCTTTAAGTAATCTCTTTCGATTTCGTCGGCTGCTCTTTGTTTTTCATATTCATTTTCTATTTTATTGTATATTTATAAACTTAATTCAATAATTAAACTTTTTTGTAGTTGAATTGTAATTTTACTCACTTTTATTACTCTAATTATTTGTAATTTTTTTTTCTTCTGGAATTGATCAATTGGTTTAGTTATTTAAAGGAAAAAATAATTATAGTATTACTTGGTTTGACGAGACTTTTTTTTTTTTTTTTTTAGCAAAGATGTATAATATTTTTTTCTTGATTTTTACGCTATTTACTATTATGGATTTTAATGTAATAAAATCCATGTAGATACCTATTATTAATTTTATTATTATAATTACTAGTTATTATTATTATTATAATTATAATTATTATTGATTATTCTATTGTGAATTGAATAATTAAAAATTTGTAAAATCAATTATCGTTACAATTTATTTTTTTTTTTTTTTTAATTATTTATAACTATTTTAAATCACTTCTAGAAATTGTTTTTCTTTTTGCTCGTTAATTTAAATTATTGTCTTGGAAAAAAAAAAAAGAAAAAAAAAATTGGTGACGGTTAAATTCATTAGAAAAATTAAAAAAACAAAACTATTAGAACTGATACTAAATAAAATAACTGAAGGTGCAGGAAGTCTGTAAGAATAAATTTATTTTATCAATAAAGTATAAATAAATAATGATAATAAAACAAAACAAGAGGATTTATCATTACTAACAGCATAATCACTTGCTCTTGTTACTGTAATTTTTATTAAAAAGAAACAGAATGATGCTGACAAATGTTAATTATTGTGAATGTGAGTTTTAATTGAAATAGTAAATAATAAAAATATAAACATTCCTAGTAAAATAATTTTAAAATTGGCGTCCTATAAACTGTTATTAAATCTCTTTTGTTTCAATTGTATTTGACTAAAAAATTATAAAAATAAATATTTTAAAAACTATAAATATATCGACACAACATTGATGAAACAATTTAATTAATTATGTATTATGTAAGTAGATATAAATATAAAGCGATAAGTAATAAATAAATAAAATGGAATGAATAATAAAACTGATTATAAAGTTGATAATAAATAGTTGATTTAAAGAAATGAATTATTAATTCGATTATAAAAATTATTTAAGTTACAAAAAATAATTAATCGAATTTAAATAATTATATACTTGTTTGTTCAATAAAACTACTGTAAATGTGCCGACATGCTATATTCTTAGCTAAAAATAAATGAAAGCCTATTCAATGCCTTATTTTCATTTACACTACTCATCATTAATGAATTTATTTATTTATAATTATCATTTTTCAATCATTAATTTTATTTATTATCTTTTCCATCACAAACTAGTCGAAGGAGTAAATTTATTTTTTATTTTAACACGCTCGGCTGGTCGAATGCATAAATCTTTGCCGAACAATTGAAATTTCGTTTCTATTAATTGAATGTCAATAGCGACAGCGTGTTTCGGAACAGCTGAAATAAAATTTATTTCAATTAAAATTATTTAAACCAAAAACAAACTTTTAAAATTAATTTATATACTCACTACGAATAGTATCATCTTCACCAATAATTCTAAATGTATTTTTGGTGTCTTGTACAATTATTCCTTGAATGTCTATCAAACTAGGACACTTTGATTTAACGACTTTTACTTTTGCACCGTGAAAATCTGACTTCATTATTTTCTGGCTTATACTGTCCCAATCATTGTCACCTGGATTAGGTAATCCATTGAAATTTTCAACTCCTAGCGTTTGTGAAAAATATTCTAGCCACAGGGTATTTAGCGGTAATAACTCTTTATACTTAAGTTGTTTGTTCAAGCCGACTGTTTTTATTCCAAGTAATTTTCTTTTACGGCCACTTAAAAAATTTCCTTTTCTCACTGGCTTTTGTTTCTTATTGTTTGATTTTAATTTGTCCAATATAAATGTCTGTAACAAATAATTATAAGTTTTAATAAAGTTATGTACAACATTTTTGTCGAATAAATATTAATTGTGTTTCAATTTTGTAAAAAAATTAATGAGTCAATTTTTTTGATTTTTATATATTACTATAAAGTTGACAAACATTAGAAATTTTTTTATAATTTTATGGCAATAAAATTATAGTAGAAAACTTTGATAAAAAAATTTTAAGTGGAAATTTTTATAAGCATTTTTTTTTTACTGTAATTGATTTGTTAAAAAAGTTAAAAAAATTGACAATTGACAAATAATTTCAGTATCATTTTTATAATAATAATTACTATAAAAATATTTTAATAAAAAAATTCTACATTTAGAAATGAATAAAAATTACGAGTGCAAACTTTTTATAATTAATTTTTTTTTTTTTTTAATAAAAAAAATGTCTGCTGATTTCAGTATCATCAAAAAAATGATGACATTAGCAGTCACATGAATATTTTTAATTTTTTTTAATAAATAAATTTGCTCCAAAAAATTATTTCCAAAAAAAATTGCATTTTTTATTGTTTTAATTTTCTAAATGTCAATTTTTTATGATGATAAATTTAGCAGATATTTAATCATTTTTAGAATTTTTTTTAACAAATAAATTATGGCAAAAAAAAAATATAACAAAAATTGACATGTAGAGATTTAGAAAAATTAAAAATGCAATTTTTTAAAAATAATTTTTTGGAGCAAATTTTATGAAAATAAAGTTAACCGACATTTGAAAATTTTTAGAATTTTTTTTTATTGAAAAATTTATTACAAAAAATTTTTTAAAAAAATCCCACTTGTAAAAAACTTCAAAAACTGTAAGTGAAATTTTTAAAAAATATTTTGCTGTTTCAATTTAATTATTAAAAAAAAATCAAATAATTAAAAACGTCGGCTAACTTTAGGATCATCAAATTTTTTTATTAAAAACACTCTAGTGACTGCTAACTTCAATATCATATTTTTTTTCTTATTTTCTTTGACATAATTTACTTGTTAAAAAATTCTTAAAATTATAAAATATCCGGTAAATTGATTTTCATAAAAAATTACATGAAATTAAATTTAGCTGTCACTTGACAATTTTTTTAACAAAAAAATTTGTTTTAAAAAATTATTTTTAAAAAATTGCATTTTTAATTTTATTAAATTTCTACAAGTCCATTTTTTTATTAATTTTTTTTGCCATAATTTATTAATTAAAAAAATTGTCAAGTGACAGCTAAATTTAATCTCATAAAAATTACCTTAAAAAAAAAAATAAAAATAACCTTTTTTAATTCATCAACAATTTGTGAACTGTCATTACTAGGTAGTCGTTGCTCAAGAAAATTAACAATAAATTTTTCTCTGTTTTCAAAAGTACTTGCTTGTTTACTTATTTCATACGGCAACGGTTTACATATGTCATCTGTAACATAAAACAACCAATAAAAATATCCCATAAATAATTCTTAACAAAAAAAAAAAAAAAACAAAACAAACAAACCTACCACTTTTCTTCATCTTTAATAAATAATAAATATAACACAAAACAGTTAATAAAAAAAAATAACCTATTAACCTAAACAAACACGTGTATTACTCCGGCAGTGTCTAATAATAATAATGAGCGGTTGTATATTTTCCATCAGAATGCAGCACTTGAGCTAATTGAATATTTAACAATGTGTTATTACCATAATTAATAATAAACAATAATAAACCTTAAATATCTAATTTACATGTTAATAATAGACTAATTAGAACTACTGGTGGTTTATTAAAAACAAGTATTTACAAAAACAGAAGCTTAATATATAAATCAATAAATATGACAGTCAAATATTTTATATTTACTGTACTGTAGTTATTATCATTATCACTACTGATATTGTATATATTTGTTTTTATGGTGAGTAATTAAATTAAATCCATTCATCACTTGTTGCTATAAGTTTCTGAAGCTTTTAGTTTTTAACATAATCCAGTCTAAAAAATAGTTTGCAAAGTTATTTTGTAACTCCAACAACATGACTAACTTGTGAAAATTTTTTTACAGGTATATATCTATATCTATATATTATATATACATGAATTGAGTATGTATATGTCTGTGAAAAGTTCGGGAAAAACAGCAGTAAGATATACATCAACTTGAAGTCTATTTTAGTGAGTTGTTTGTATGCTAAAATCTGCAAGATATTAAAATAGAAAAACTCTTGAGGAAATCGTAAAATCAATAGTCTGTAGTATGACGTTAGTTTTAAAATTTTCTCCAAGGTCATCGGAATATTGAAAAGGTAAATTACTTGTTTCAATTATTTTTCATCTGTCGAGCATGGAAATATTTTAAAAGTTGTATAGATAGATTATTGATTGATTGATGGACTGTAGGTATATATGAATGTATTGAGCTTGTTGAGGCATATTGTATATACTGTCTATTGAGTACATATACAACTACGATGGTGTATACATGTATATGTTTTTTTTTTTTTATAGATTACTTTGTAAGTAGTTGACGAGATGCCAAAAAATCAGATTATAAGGATGTCAGTGTCATCGAAAGCTCTTCACATTATTATTTATATGCCATGGATTAAAATTCAAGGTAAATATCTAATATAACTTTTTTAGTTTAAACTTTAAAACTTTTTTATTTATTATAATGAGTTATTAATTTAATCCTTGTTTTACCGGACTTTTGATATTTTTAAAATACGAGCTTTTGTTTGAAGAAAGTATATAAGTTTTGCTTTCACGAGTTTGTTGAGAGAAAATTTTTTTAATTTTCCGGAGTTTTGTTTTTTTTTTAATTTATTTAATTATTAAAAAGTAGATCTTGTTTTCTTATTTTTTATTTTTATGATACTGAAATTAGAAAACATCTGGCGATTTTTTTTTTACAATTAGATTAGTAATAAAAAAAATGATTTTTAAAATTGTCAGATGTCTGTTAATTTTCAATGACATTTATTTTTTGCTGGATCGAAAACTAGGCTAATGTAAAATTGTGAATAATTATTTTTTTTTTTTAATTTCTGCATAATTAAAAAAAATTTTAGGATTATTATTGATAATAATTAATACTCACAAATATTTTTACAATGGTCTTTATTCATTATGAAAAATAATAACTATTTTGATTTGGATTTTATGTACAATAACAATTGCAATTGTTAGAAAATGTGGCAATACAATTATCTTTTTACACGCTTTGGTGACATATTTTCTGTAATCTTAAATAATCTTTTGTACTTGGCATAAAAAAAAAATACTGTAATAAAAAGAAGATAAGTAAATTAAAATATAAAAGTTTTCCATAGAAAAAAAGATAGTACAGTAATTAGATTGATAAAAAAAAAAATATTTTTATCTCGCTTAAACCACAACTGACATGAACTTATTTATGAACTTTAAAAAGTTTTACCAGAAATTAAAGTTTTGAATTACGAAAAAACCGAACAAACGGTGGTTGAAGACAGGATGATAATTGGATTTATTGAATATCTTTCGAAACACGTAATATACTTTTGTAGTTTTATAATTTTTACTCATCATAAGTAAATTCACATCAAAGTACGAAGAACAACGAACAAGAATCTAATTAACGAATCATTGTAACCAGATAATTTTATTATACAATAAAAACAAGTTAATAGTATTATTCAGCAGTCGAACGTTGAGCGGGCGATTGTTCAAGCTCTTCTTTCTCAAGGTATCGATCCAAATAATGGAATAATTCAAAGGCTACTTCTACCATAATTAGAACAATTATCATCCACTCGAGTCTTACATGGTGACGATCACTCAAGTGTGAGGATAATAATTCAACCAATTCCACGCAGTGATTTATTTTTTCATTCATCACCTACAAAAAAATAATAATAAAATTAAATTATTTATCAATTTTTTATAATACTGAATTTAACAGCTGAAAATTTTTTAATTTTTCTAACAATTAAATTATTATTGATAAAATTCTTTGAAAACATTTTACATGTAGAAATTTAATACTATTGTAAGTGCGAATTGAAAAAAAATTTTGGTAATTATTTACAAGTAGAGTCAACCGAACTAGCCCATGTTAAATTTTTTTTTTTTTTTTAATTAAATTAATCAATTTTTTCTAAATTATTCGTCTTTTTATGTACTTAAAAAAAAAAAAAATATACATCAAAAACATCAAAAAAAATAGAAATTTTATCCTTTAATGTTAATGTTTTTGTAAAACACAAATGTGATACAAATAAAACTCTATCTATCTATCTAGAAATTTATCCAAAAACATGAGCCAAAATTTTTTCCAACTATCAAAGGCAAAAAATGGAAATCTTTATTTTTCCCTTTCGCGATATTTTTTGTCATAAATGCGCCATAAAAATAAGCAGAATCATAAATAAAAAATTTGAAAATGTTAATTTTTTACCTTCAAAGCGTCACAAAAAAAATGTTGACTTTTTGGTATATTTCACTTAACAAAAATTAATAATCGTCAACTTAAATTCAACAAATCATTAACAAAAAAAAATTTATGCCGCTTGAGCTAGTTATGGCCCAAAATCGGGTTGAACCCACTTGTAAATAATTACTAAAATTTTTTTTTATCATTATTTGTGATAAAAATTCAAAAAATTGTCAGCTGTCTACTAATTTCATTATAATAATTTTTTTTTAATCTTATTATTAAGAACAATTTTTTCTTCAATGAAAAAAATTCAATACAAATGTTTACTTTAATTGAAATTTTAAAAATATAAATTAACAACCCTAAAGTTAGCCGAGATTTTTAATTCTTTTCTTAAATTGGAATAAAATATTTTTAAAAATTACACCTAAAGTTTTTCAATTTTTTTACAAGTTAATTTTTTTTTTATTTTTATGAAATAATTTTTTTAATAAAAAAAAATTTTTTTAGATCTCGGCTGACTTAATTTCAATTAATTATTATTATTATTATTGAGTTTTTTTGTAATTGAAAATTGAGATTAAATTTCAGAGCGCCAAAGGGCGAGAAATAATGATATTAATAAGTAGTTATAAAAGTACCCTAGTTCTTTTAGAAATAGCGAAGTAGCCACATGTTTGTTGATAAAGATTTTCTAACTCATCTCTTTCCCAATAAAAGTCCGGAGTATCGAGCAAGTCGGAACTCAAATTGATGTGGTGCCTCAGGGCGAAAAGTTCTCCTTGTTTCCTAAGAACTTGTTCCCGTGTCATTTTTATTTTTCTTCCAGTTTTCAAATCTTCCGTTACGAATTCAATCGATTCGATATAGTGGTCCAAAGACGACTCCCAAATTCCAAGTTTAACTGATTGGGATATCGCATTCGAAAATGTATATTTGTCTAAATTAGTGCTCTCAGAAGCTAAGTAAATATCACCGTCTTTAAGGTGGCTACGCTTTCTGCAAACAAAACAAAAAGTTTAATATTATTTTAATATCAAAGTTTCTTCCTCTGAAATATAATTAAAATAGTATAAATTAATAAAATAAATTAACGAAATGAAATAGAGATTTTTATTTCAATAACAAAATAGCATAATTTAATTTTTGAATTAATTTGAATAAATTATTTCAATTGTTTGGTTTAATTTTTACTTTATTTTCTATTAAGTCAAGCTCCGAGAGCTTACTGATAAAATTATCGATTTGAATATTCAGAAAACTTAGACTTCCATTGTCATAGAAAATTTTACTCGCTCTTCTTGCTCTCCGTCTGTAAGTAAACTACCAACTACAAACACATACACAAGGCTTTGCATACCAGTAGTCAATAAAGTAATGGTAAGGGTTCTTGAGGCGGACCAAGATGAGCGGTTTGTTTACTTCGGACACAAAGTTATGATTCAAAAGCAATGAAAGCAACGAGTTGAGTCGAAAAAAAGAAATATTATGTGAAAGATTGCTATTGAAAATAAAAAAAAAAATTTACCATTATTATTATTTAACTTTTCTTATTTGAAATAAAGTAAAAAAACTTACCCGGGTTCGGCATGGGTATAATACATTATCTCACTTTCTGCTTGGAGTAATTCTGTCGAGTAGCTGTTTTCTTCATAATTTTTTAACATTTCCAATATATTGTTGCACTCAAGATCTGTCGTGTTCCACATGACAATAGTACCTTCTCGAAAGAAAAACATTTCACGCGGCTCATTTTCCACTTGGTATTTTGGTACTGCATGAATTACATTGGCTGGCGCTGCAGAGAACATAAAAAACAAATTAATAGTGACTAGAGTTACGGACAGTAGAGAATAAAAAGATTAAAAAAGCTTTATTTTTCTTTGAATAACAATTTTGAATAATTAAATTCTGTTTAATTAAATGCTCGCTAATTTAATTCAGTTCACGCTTTAATTATCTGATAGTGTTATTCATTAAAAACCAATTTATGATAATTATATCAACTTTATTGCTACAAAGGAATAAGATACATAAATTTTTACAAAAATATTTTATTTTATCTTAAAAATGAATTAATTTAAATATTTTTCACACTAATAATTTTAACTAATATAAAGTCTAACTCATAACTTAATCAATTAAAAACGGACTGTCGCAAACGGCAGCGCCAGCCATTAATCCGCCTTCATTAGAGTCTGCTTTTTTCGTTCTAAATAAATGCCCAACTTGTTTATTAACAAATATATTATTTTTATCATCGCCGATAATAACACCAAAAATTCCAACCTCTGGTGTTAATTCTTTTAATATGTTATTACTACTACTATCTTTTACAGTAATTGCGTAATTTAATTGTGACGGTGGATAAATTCTGTCCATTAAAATCCATGCATTACGCTCTTGAGAATTTTTAATAGTAATTAAAAATTTTTTAATATCACTTCCATAAATATTATTACCACCGCCTTCACGTTGCGGTTTAAGGACAAATCTTTCCGGATTACGTACTGCCATTTCAAAAGCTCTGTTTCCATCTTCATCAAAATCTAATGAATAAAGACCTGAAATGTAAAACATACTCACAATTATAGTTATTAACTAGAAACCTTGCAGTCACTATGTGACTGCCGTGATTTGTGAATTATAAATAAATAAAATTTTGCTTTATTAAATAATGACTTTGTTAAATTGCACTTTACTTTCTTAAATATTGATGTTTTTAAAGATATAAGCTCAACCCGATGTTACACTCATCAAGAGCTATCATTTGAGTACCCACATGAATTTTCATATATTTTTCATATATACATATGTATAATATATATAAATATATGAAAAATTGATGTGGGTACTCAAATGGAAGGTCTCGATGAGTGTAATGTCGGGGTGAGCTTATATCTTTGAAAATATCATCAGTTGACAAGATAGCAATGTCAGTTCTTAATTATTGACATTTTTAAAGATATAAGCTCATCCCAATGTTACACTCATCAAGAGCTTTCATTTGAGTACCCACTTGCATTTTTGATATATTTTTCATATATACATACATATATAAATATACAAATATATATAAATATATGAAAAAAATGATGTGGGTACTTAAATGAAAAGTCTCGATGAGTGTAATGTCGGGGTGAGCTTATACCTTTAAAAATGTCATTAGTTCACAAGATAAAAGGTCATTTATATCATTTTATTTTATCATATGACTGTCCTGGAGACAAAATTTTTGTTATTCTTTGAATAATATAGATTAAAATTAATATTATAGAAACAAAAATAATATAAAATATTTATTGACCTGTAAAAATGTTCCTAACGCGCTCAACGTTTTTCTCATCTTGGAAAAATTTTTCAACAACACCGGATTTAGCCAATGCCTGTTGTACTTTTTTAGTACCAGCCAGGTGATATTGAATCGATGGGGATTTAATGGCCAGGGATCGCTCTATCAGTAACCGTACCTTCCATTCTTGTTCAGTGTAATGCTCCGGTGAATATCCATACCGATAATAAACAACAGCGACTACTGTGCTATCATTTAAAATCAATTCTTTTTTGGAACCAAGCTTTGCCTGAATCGTCAGCTGCTTCAATGTTCGCCTCACGACTTTAACATCGGGATTCAGACGTTTTATTTCGAATTCGTGTCCCCGTTGGTCGCTTATATTTGTCGAGAACTCCTCAACGACAAATAAAATAACAGCTCTGTAACGAGATAATAAAAACCAGCTATTAATTTATTTATTTATATGCCTCATAGATGACAATAAAGTTAGTCGACATCTAAAAATATTTAGAATTTTTTTTATTGAAAAAATTATTTGAAAAAAAATTTTTTTTTATTTTATTTGTAACTAATTTGATAAACTGTATGTGCAATTAAAAAAAATTATTTTTTAGTTCTAATTTAATAAATAAAGCAAAATCAAAAAATAAAAAATCTCGACTAACTTTGTTATTAAGCCTCATAAATGATAAATTATAACAACAACAACCAGTGTAATTATCTAATTGTGATTGTTATTTAATAACAATATAATGACATGCAGTACTTATTATTAATAGGCTTTAATTAGTGTTAATAAGCATACTATACATACCTTGGATCATTATACATTCTCCACGCCTCTAGCATTCCGCAGCACAGTCCCTCAATTGCATTATTTTCCGGCAAATATTCGATTAAATTTTTCATACCCAGTTCATGCAATACGAATTTATGGAATTTAGTGGCAACAGTACCAAGCCACCCCATACCCGAAGCTATTGTATTAATTTCAACTTGTTTCCAACAGCAGAATGATTTCGTCTTTCTGAGTTCCGGGTCGTAACACTCCCCCGTCTCTCCCTCAACTGCAGCTTTCATTTCTTCTTCTTTTTCCTCGCTTTTTCGATCCAATTCTTTTTCTTGGCTCTCATCGTAATTATAATTACCGCAGACTGTGTTCAACATAAAATCAGATCTGAATAATCCCAATGATAACTTCTGTGTAAAGCCCTCTTTGTACACAGTCTGATAAATGTCAAAAAGTTTCCGGGTAAAGGGATCGACGGAAATGGTCGGTGCGAGAGTTTCCCTTAAAAATTCATAATCGTGTGCTACTTTGTGGATTAATCCATTCAAAACAGTTTGGATTTGGCATGCATCTTGAAATTGTAATCTCGGAAAAGCGGAGGGCAGGAGAGCGAATGGTGCAAACTGCATCGAATCCTTCCTCAAGTTTGTATTTTCTCGTATAGATAATCCGTGCATAATTGCCCAATCCTGTGCTTTTTCGATAAGCTCTTCTAATTCTCCTGATGGTAATGGTACTTTAATGTACGATGATAAACACATTTGTTTATTTATTTTACTCTCCATCACGCTGTAGCTTACTCTTCGTCTATAAATCACAGTTTACACTATAAAACACTTAATAATTTAATCAGTTTTATAACAAACGCCTTTAATTTATTTTTTTTTTTTATTTTTTACCGCCTGTTCATCCACTTGGATATTTATTTTTTCAATTGGTAAATCGTCAATCCTCAGTCTTCAATCGCTAATTTTTTATTTCAACGTTAATTAACGCTCAGCTTGAAAAATGTGATTGCTATTTCCACTCCGAGAAAGATTTGAATGCTGCTTCCAGCCGCCTGCACAGAGAAAAGTTTCATGTATTTATTGATGGAAAAATGAATGAAAAAATTTAAAATTTACTTTAAATAACATATCTCCGGATTTATCTCAACTCGAGTAATCGATGCAATAACTTTATATATACTGTCATGATATGACTCACTCACAGTTGAAAGTCTACACTGCACGTTACTTTAACTAGAATATCATATATTCTATTTTTGCATTAGTTTTTTTCCTCAGCATTTTCTTCGTCTCCACATAACATTCTTTTTATTCTTTCCCTCTTTTTTCTTATGCACAAATAATCTCGTACTCTACAGTATAATATGCTCAACCGGTTTAATAAAAAGTCATTAACTCAGCCATTCTTTTACACATTTTAAAAACAAATAACTATTGTTATCTACATAACTGCGACTCTATTCATATTTGCATTTTTTTAATAAACAGTAAATACCAACATTTGTTATATTTTTACTTATCTTATCTGCTGAATAATTATTCACAGTTTTATTAATTAAAGTGAAGAGTTTAATCATTAAAAAAATTTTTTTTCATTATCTAAAGTCTTCATTTATGTGACAAAGTTTTAAACTATCCACTTAGTAAAAAAAAAAAATTTTTTTTACTATAAAATACACAAGTTTATCCATTTAGCATAAATACAAGTCGAATGAAAATTTGATTTATTATATCAGCAGACATTTAACACCCCAGCAATTGTCCGCTGAAAAGAACTTTATGCACCATTAAATTACTAACCACGTGTTAGAGTAAATAAATAGTATTATTAACATCTGTGACAAAATAACAGAGTAATATAAATACATTTTTTGACAATGGAGCAGTAACCCCGCAATATAAAACCAATAAATCAAGTACTTTGGATTCGTATCATGCGCTAAAATAACTAAATTTAAAATTACTAAAATTTAACAACATAACATTACAAATTTCCTAGAAGAAAATAAAGTAAATAAATACATATTTATACATTGAAGTTACTTGTAGAATAATAATAGATTTTATCAGCAGCATTTTATTTTGGGTTCGATTGCATTAAGAACGATGATTGACAGATAATATTTCAGCATTAAGAATGCTTACACGTGTGGAAATTATTTTAAAAAATACAAGATTCGAATAGAGTAAAGAGGAAAGTAAAGTAAAAAAATAAAGAGTTATGCATGTGATCTTTAATTTTCTACTTTATATGTATAGAAATATGGATATATATATATATATACGTATAAAATACTTGAGAGTAGAATATGAGGAGAGAAAGGGATAGGATAAAAAGGTAACAGGTATTAATCCGAATTTGTAGGCTAGACCTATTGATCGACAAATCGATAGCAAAAAGTGCCGTTATGTTGGTTGGTGAAATCTAGACTTATCCGATTCCATATATACATTGCACTAGGAAATAAGTATTATATATACTTATACTTGTACTTTTATCTACACACACATAACTATACACTTATAATACATCTAAATAGATAGAATACATTTGAGACTTTCTCGCAACGGAAGTTAGATGTAATGGTGTCGAAAGAGCATTTACATTCTTATAATTTTTTAATTGAAATAATCTCAGGGTAACCATAAGCCTGGGAGCTTTGATTCTATTATACATTATTTCTTATTAAAGTATACTATATCATTTATAAACATTTGTTTTGCTTTTAGAATTGCTTAATTAAATGTTGAGAGCTGAAAAATAATTCCACTTAAGGGTTACAAGTTCCGTCTTTGATCGCTGATATTATTTTTATTATTATTGTTATAATTTTATATGTATATTCTTTATTTTAAGAACTCGGTGAAGAAGTCAATTTTTTTTTTATTTCAACCTTTCAAAACACACTTTGAATATATCATTAAAAAATATATTGTCCATTGAACCTGGTAATTTTAATGATCTATGCTATTTCTGATTATTCTTCTATTCTTTTTTTGATATTATATTTTATTTACGGTTCATTAGAACTTCTTTGCTATTTCAAGTAAGTCCAGCTTTAGCTTATAGAAATGCTTTAAATACTTGTGAAATATGCCAGTACACATTTCGTGCAAATATGAATAAGCCGAAAATCAAAAGTGGCAATCTATGACGCAGAAATAAACCATCTGGTTGAAATAATATCGAGTATTCAGTTACATTTTTATTTTTTATTTATAAATAAATAAAACAAATAATCTTTCGATTGTAAACTTGAATAAATGCACTCCTATATTTTCATTAAGTTGTCAATATTTCAATTTCTTGAGCTCGTAGACTTGTGTTCGAATGCCGCAGTATACTTTAAACTTTAAACACCTTTTTCTCAAAAGGTTTTTCCGAGTGACGCAGAAAAAAAAAAGTTATCAATCGATCTCCCTTAGATTTAAGCCTCACTAAAAGTTATTCTGCCAGTCACTATTTCCCAAGGAGATAAAAGTCATGAATAAATATTCAAAATCTATTATTTTTTATAATCGAAAAATATGTTTTTAAAAATTCGTACCTCTATTTTATTTTATGACTTTGAATTAACAATATATAATTCATAAAATCTTATCTCTTACAAGAAAATAAACTTCCACTTTCCCAACGATATTTTCTGATAAAATAACTTGATGTAATTAAATTTGATATCATTAGAAAGGTCGTCTTAATTTATGCCTTTCATGATTTAAGATGTTTCCAAGCGATACTTTATTTAATACGTAAACTTTTGTTCTAATATTATTAAAGTTTGCGTGAATATACATTTTTAAATGTAATTATTATTTGCGATCCATTTTGTTATCACAAAAAAAAAAAAAAAAAAATACCATTAATGGCTCACTGAGGGTGAATCGTAATTGTCCATTCATACTGAACACCTGCAATTCATGCACATCAAGTATCAATAGCCAAAAATTAACATTCAGGGGCAGAAGACAATAAAGGCCACCCTTAATTACTTTTTCGTAATTGCTTTAGTTCAGAAAACACAACTATTAGATAAAAATGTTTTAATCGCATTCAATATTGTAATTATATGTACAAAACCACTTTCCATGTGTTAGCAATACAAAACAAGATGTTTGTAATTGAAAACTATCCGACGCTGAGAAAGACACAACTATAATAATCATAGTTGCTATAATAAAACGTAAATAAAATGCATTTATGTTAGTATCACTGTAATTAAATAAAAATACAAATATAATTAAAACTTTCATCGCTATTTCAAAGTATTTTTATGAGATTAAAGTTAGCAGTCATTTAATAATTTTTTAACAAACAAATTTGTTCCGGAAAATAATTTAAAAAAAATTGATTTTTAATTTTTTTAAATTTCTACATGTCAATTTTTTTTTCCCATAATTTATTTCTTAAAAAAAATTATTAAAATTTAATAAATATCTGCTACATTAATTTTCATAGTATTTTTCTGTAATTAATAAAATATTAATAAAATAAAATATTACTTACATTTAGCAGAAGCACTTATTTTTTTAGGAGTATATAAATCTTGGATTACAAGTTCTTTCATAAGCCCTTCTAAATCATACTCTTCCGCCGTCGCCAAAGCTTTGATATTCCAAAACTAAGAAAAAATAAACGAAAAAAAAAAAAAAAAAAAAATTATTAAATATATAAAACCGATAGATAATAAAAAGAAGATTAAAAAACTTACGCCCGTCGGAGGAATCACTCCATCATCAAATATCAATTTCCGCTTTCTAACAGGTCTTTTTTTCAACGGTATACCCAAAATATTACTGCCGTGACTCTTGAAGCTAATATTACTAATATTTCGTTTTTTGGTTGAGTACCCACGATCAATAAAGTGATTGGATAAAAATTTTAAATAAAAATAATTATTGTTAAAAGTGAATTTATTTTTAAAGTCAGCAATAGAAGAATACGATCGAATATCATGACTAACTTTTGAGTGGTTGACAAATATCGTTCTTACACTTTGCACGATATTACCCACACAAACTCTCCGATTCATCAATAATCCCTCAATACAATAGATAATCATATTTAGGCGTTCACTCGAATTGTCAACTTAGCCCTTGAAAACTAAATATATAAACAGCCGAGGGTTTGCAATTTCTTCCGGGCAAGGATGATAATAATAATAATAGTAAAAATACTTAGATGAAATATATCTAGCCCAATGGTGTACTGTCAATCGCAACCCTAGTCTAGAACAGTATTATATTATCCTTGTAGTATTCACATCGACACGTGATGTTACTTACACTTGGGCAGAACCCCAATAAAAAGCTGGATAGATAAACTGACCCGCATTAAACGTACCAATACATACACGTATTATGTATCTGTAGCATGTCATTGGGTCCGTACGTGTCTGCATGCATCTGCGAATAAATATCTAATCAAACTCATATAATTTAACAATAATAAAAAGGGTGTTTCTAACCCCCCTTAAAAAATCGATTTACAGAAGAGATAACTCACGTGCTGCACAACCAACGACTTGCATAAATTATTTATACTCAAGTTTACGCAAGCGCAACATTAAAAATGGACGCATGCGCTTTTAGCCGGTACGCGCAGGCGCCGTTAAATCACGTGGCGCACCATATGATGCGCGCGAATTTACGCAATGATACATGAGCGCACCTGCGATTGTATAATTAAAATCGTGTCTTCGTGTCACAAACGACAACCAACGACAACTATTGTAAGCTGGCTGCCCAAATTATTAATTCCGATTATAGTAGTACTGGTATCTGGAAATAATAATAATAATAATAATAATAATAATAATAGTCATGGAGGAATTAATAAACGAAAGTATGTATGTATCAATATGGAAGTTTTTCAAGTTCAAATTTTAAAGCAATGAGAAAAATTATTATATGATACTGATGTTAGCTGACAGATGTCAATTTTTTAAATTTTTATAATAGATAAATTATACTTAAAATAATTATGAAAATTTCTATAATTTTTTTTGTTGAAAAAAATTATTACAAAAAAATTAAAAAAAAAATTTTTAGTTATAATTTTATTAATAAAGCAAAATCAAAAATGTCGGATAATTTTATTATTTTTAAAATTTTTTTACATGTAAAATTTTTTTATTAAATTTTTTTCATAACAATTTCATTGCTATAAAATTATGAAAATTAATTTAGCAGATATTTGATAATTTTTTTAATGAATAAATTATAACAAAAAAAAATTTTTTTTAAGTTGATATCTAGAAATTTAAAAAAATGCAATTTTTTAAAAATAATTTTTTGGAATAAATTTATTTTTTTTTTAAATTATGAAGTGACAGCTAACTTTAATGTCATATAAAATTATAAAAATTTCCAGACGTCAAATTCATTATAATAATATTTATGAATTTCTGTTGAAAAGAAAAATTTTCTTGAACAAAAAAAAAAAACTTGAGCATAGAGGTAATTATAGTTTTTGTTTCAGATTTATTAAAAAATACTGACACTTATAAATGACATCTAAGTGTAATGCCCGCCATTGATATTATGGAAAACGTCAGTTTTGGGGCACATGATATTTGAATATGGCGTCTGATAAATCCTTTCTCGATGATTGTATTTTGGAGAAGGGCAGCGGCCTTACACGTTAAATTATACGTTACTACTACAACAACAATAACTATCAGCATCAACACACTACACACGACGGCAAATCGGGTACAGAGATTGTGAGTTGCGCGTGCGCGTACCGATTCGTCGAAGAGGACGCTCGTAAACACACATTCAACATAAGAACATTGTCGCGAACAGAATAACGTTTACGTAGCCGTTTCCTCACCGACGGTGTATGAAACCAGCCAATAGATGTACGTACGGTTGTTAACATTATACTGTGAGTTTTATACACTGGGTACTCTCTCACTTTCTTCATTATATTGCTTTGACAGTGTTGAGTTATATACAGTGGAGTGTCCTCGTCATCTTAAATTAAACTGATCGTCGTACCTAAAAAAATAATACCTTCCTGGTTTTTATTGGATGGAAATTGGAATATGTGCATTCGATTTACATACAGCTACAATTAAACACAACAGACAACATCAACTTAATATATTAATAACACATATTGTTGTTATTTTTATTATTGTATTCATCATACCTGACTAGTACTTGTAGTTAATACGACAGTGAAGTGAACAAGGTATTGAGAAAGGTGAAAAGGCAGTGAATAAAGAGAAAGACGGAGAAAGCTCATGAGTACGAGGTGTGTATACCTACCAGTGAATGTAATAAAAAAAAGTCTATTAAAATTAAAAAGGTATTAAATTAACGGAGTACACTTTAAGTTCAACTCTTAGTCAGCACTAGTGCTATTTATTTCGTTGTTGTTAATTTATTATTTATTTATTTTTATTTTGTTTTAGATCTGTCGAGGTTTTATTTATTTTAATAGTTGTGGTGAATATGGTGGATTTAATCGTATTATTTAAGGACCGTGATAATAATCCAAGGTTCCACGGTTCACCGGTTGTAATGAAAATATAATATGTCAGGTTGAGAATACTAGAACACTGGGTGGTAATATATATTTATTACAATATTGAAACTCTGCCGTGGTTGCTTTAATATATTGTATATACATATGTGTACATATACATATATGTGTATACATATATAGCATACATGTTCTGTTCACACAACACGTTTGTTTTATGTCGTAAGCTAAAATAAAAGAAGTAGCTGAAAAAAAAAAGAAAGAGAAAAAAAATAAAAGAAAGAAATTTCTTCTCAACGTATTTTTTTTTTTCAAAAACGTTGTGCGCGATTTTACGCTCACATTTTTTATTGCAGATGTGCCGCATAAGACGCGGAGTCATGTCTGTTAGATAGTAAATAAGGTGAGATTTTATTTTTAATTAATCTATTTTGATAATTTTTTAATTTATTTATTTATTTTTATTTTAGTTTTGGTATTTATATTACAAACCATTAGGGTTGTTGATATAATAAACTATTCAGGTGTTAATTGGCATCAGTGGCTTGACGGACATTCTTATAATGGATTGTTCTAGTTTACTCTACACTGAAATGTCGCTTGTGATTTTTTTTTATATAAGTACAATGTGTACTGAAAATTTAACTAAAGAGATAAACTATTATGGGTGAAGTTTCCCGGAGTACGAATAACTTTTACAAAATTATCTATCAAGAAAAAATATTTTTATATTTTTCTGGGCATAAAAAAGTTGTAAAAATTCCCCTCTTGTCGACGTTTTGTTATTTTATTAGACATATTAGCAAATAAAACGCTACTTCTTCTTATTCTTCTTTCGTCTTTGTCTTCGTACTCGTTGGTAGTTGGTCTTGCTTTTTTTTTTCTTATTTTTTTTTTACTTTATATATATATATATATATACAATATATTTTTTTTCGTCTTGTTCTTCTTCTTCTTGGTCTTGGTCTTATCTTTCGTTTTTCTTTTCATCTTGTGTTTCTCATTGTACTGTCTTCGTTCACCTGTGCAATGTTTTAAATTAGACACTGGCTTTTATTTAAAATTAATCAATAGACCGAAGACTGGGGTATTATGCATCCATGTTATCGTAATGTCTATTATTATTGACAGCTTTATTTACAAAACAGTTTCTCTGGAAAATGTCAAAATTTGTAATAAAAAATTAACGTACCGAGTGACGGTGATTAATGATAGTACCGGACGCAAAAAAGTATGCGAGTTGAATAAAATACTAGACTCAGGATGAAAAAAGATCTAAAGCTAAAGTTGAAGCAAGCTATTGGATAAAAAAATTTATATTATAAATAGTTTATTCATTCGCTTTTTATTATTATTTTTTTTTTTTATTTATTTTACTTTATTGTTTAATATGACTGGTAAATAATAATTAAATTATTATCCTGAAATTAGTTTATTAAAATACTCTAAATGAAATCAAACACGCTAGTATATTTATTTTATTTTACAATTCGTAATAACACTTTAGAAAATTTAGTTATTTAAAATTTCAATTGGCACTGTCATTATCATTACAATTACAGCTACACTATCTCATTTCCGTTTGTAAAGTTTATCCATTTTATGACATACTGTACTTTTGTTTTATTTTTTATTTAATATACATCGTGATTTGATAAATCGCGTGTTTATTTTTTCCTATTATTCTTATTATTGATCATAAAAATATCAGATGAAATAAAATGTAGTAAAATAAAATTAACGGGTATGGGAGTTGGTCATTGTACGCAGAGTAAAAGTAAGAGGAATAATAATAAAATAATAAGTTTATCGTATTATTATTTGAATTCGGTAAAACCCAAGGTCTCTATGACTTGAAGTAAATATATAAAGATAATGGGTTACCTAATGATATAACACATGATTGTTAATCAAAACTGTAAATTATTAAAGATTTACTCTACTATATTAATAAATAAATAACTAAATATTTTTAAATGCATTAGCGTTTTAGCAATACTAAACTCTATTTATAATTTTTCTACACTGTTATTCTTACTACTACACTCTATGTATCTACTATCTATATGAATATTTATTTTTGTATCAGATTAGCCGTGATTAACAGACAGTTTTTTAACTAATAAATTAATTTAGTTTTTTTCAGGCATTAAAAACAAATGTTTTCCGTGCGTTTGGTTAATGCGGACAGCTATCAGGCAACGCCATTGCCTCAGCTGGATCCAACATTTTCAGAATTTCGTGGAACTGAAATAAAACATGTACCTATTGTACGGGTCTTTGGTACTACCCATACAGGTAATTTATACTCTTATTCTTAGTTTTAGAATTAATTTAAATTTTTAAGTTGAAATGGGCTAAGTGTCTATTGTGTATCAAACTTTTAAGTTTATGATTTTAGTGAGTGGTTAAAAATTTTTAAAATATCAAATCTTGTGATCTGATGATAAAAAAGACAATATTTATCTCAATAAAATTTATAGAAAGCATGAAATTTATTAGAAAGCTAAAAATTTATTGAGTTGTCAGTCTTACTGTAATAAATTATTAACTAGAAAAATAATAAAAATTTTTAAATTCCGCTGTGTATCAAGTATAAATTAAAGTGTAATATCAGTTTGAAATAATGAAATTAATTTATTATGCCATTGAAAAATAGTGTTGCGTAAGATACTTATCGTAAAAGTAGTTTTGTATAAAAAATATTAAATATAAAACTTTATTTTATTAATTCATGTGAACTGATTGCAAAATCTTCGATTGATTATAATTATTTTTATTTTAATAAAAGTAAAGTTAAAAAATTGATTATTAATTGAAAAGAAATTCCTTTTTTATTATATCTTATTTTAGACTTTGATGATTTGCAATAAATTATGTAGTCTTACCAGTTTATTAAGTATACTTAAGTAAAGTTATAATTAATATTTCACACAATTCTTCAAACTATATATAATTACCAACTCAATTAATAACTAAATCATTAGTCAGTTACAAGATTGATTTTAATGAAGGTTGCTGCCCATTTTTAATTAAAAATTGAAATTTAAAATGAATAATAATTATAAACTTTCATTGTTTGTAATTAATTAAATAGGTGAAAAGACATGTTTACACTTACACGGCGTGTTTCCATACCTGTACGTACCATTCACGGGGGATGATAATGCTGATGGCCTTGCCTATAGACTAGCTGCATCCTTGGATGCAGCGATCAATATATCCCTAGGATCAGCGAACTCAAACACACAGCATGTCTATCAAGTACAACGAGTCGCTGGAATGTAAGTCAAACTATTATGCAAACACTAAACAATGATTTTGAAAAAGGTTATTGTTTATAGTCTTGTTTATTAGCTATCAATTCAGGCGTTTGTTATCACAATGACGCTAATTATTATTATTTCTACTATTATTATTATTATTGTTTATTTATTTGCGTAGACCATTTTACGGTTATCACCGGAGAGAGCATCAATTCTTCAAAATATCTTTTTATAATCCAGCGATAATGAAGAAAGCTATCGATTTGCTACAAGTAAGTTCGGTCAATAATAAATTACCTTGACATTCTTCACAGAATTTATCATTAATACTTAACTTACGTTCTAATTTTAAGAGTAAAAGACCATTTAGTCATTTTTATTTTTTCCTCATCTCTTCTCATTTGTTATTCGTCTGCTTGAATCTTTCTTTATAAATTTCGATAAAAGTTTCACGACAATTTTCATTATTATCATTATTTTTATCGTTGTTATTATCACGATTATTAATAAACCCGAAAATGGAATACTATTTACAGAATGGATCGGTGTTGAATCAAAGTTTTCAACCACATGAGGCCCACATACCGTTTATCCTTCAATTCATGATGGATTACAATTTACACGGAATGAGTATGATCAATTTATCAAGTGTAAAATATCGGCGGCGCATTACGCAATCTCATTCGGAGTTTAAATCATCAAACGCTGCTAGTAGTAACAGTAGCAGTAGCGGTGGTGTCGCTACTACCGGCGGTATAATTACGCCGGTCGATGAACTTGATTATCTTCCAGCGTGTGTTGAACGACAAAGTATTTGTGAATTAGAGGTAGACGGTTTAGTATCAGATATCTTAAATAGACAAGACCTGGAACGGGGAATTGAGTTGAATCCAGGACTTGCGGCAATTTGGGAAGAAGAACGTGCTAGAAGAGCACAAGCTGGTCTCGCTTGTGAAGATTCCCAACTTGTCAACCCAAAAAGTCCAGGAAGACCGCCTTATTGTCTCACAGACAATGATTTGTATCAACAGCAAAGATTCAATCGTCGGCTTTATATGGTATCGCAGTGCGATGAAAGTACACTTTCATCCGCGTCCTCACCTTCTTCCTCGTACTCGCCTGCTAGTTTAAATCAATCGTCATATCCGATTGAAACACTGAACGACGATCAACTGATGAATGACTCTAATTTACCGAATTTGAATTCGCAAAATTTGAATTTGACTCAGCATATCAACGAAATTTCAAGTCTCAATTCTAACAAACTTTCTCAAGAATCTAAAACTTCACAATTAACTAACGAAACTAGTATTTGTAAGTATTCAATTTATTGATTTATTTATTTTTTTTTAATTTAAATAGAAAATAGTATTCTTTTCAACAAATACTAGTAACCTTGCAGTTACTATGTGACTGCCGTGACTTATGAACTATAAAAAATTAAAATTTTGCTTTATTAAATAATGACTTTTGTTAAATTGCACTGTACTTTCTGAAATATTGACGTTTTTAAAAATATAAGCTCATCCCTATGTTACACTCATCAAGAGCTTTCATTTGAGTAGCCACATGAAGTTTTGATATATTTTTCATATATACATATATATATTTTAAAGATATAAGCTCACCCTGATGTTACACTCATCAAGAGCTTTCATTTGAGTACCCACATGCATTTTGATATATTTTTCATATATACATATATATATAATATATATAAAATATATGAAAAATTGATGTGGATACTCAAATGAAAGGTCTCAATGAGTGTAATAATGTCGGGGTGAGCTTATATCTTTAAAAATGTCAATATTTCACAAGATACAAAGTCATTTCTTAATTATGTATCTAGGGATAGAGCATTTTCGAATGCAGCCTAAATACTTATCATAATAAATTGACTATTGGTGAGAATGAAATGAAACCTTGAAAATGCACAAATTCAAGTCAAGACCATGGCAATGACACTAAATTTCACTAAAAAAAACCGATTTTATCATATGACTATCCTACAAATAAAATTTTTCTTATTCTCTCAATAATATAGATTATCATTATTTACTTATTTTAAAAAGGAAATTATAATTATTATTATTAATATTAATTAATATATATATATATTTATCTAAAAGTTTTATATTGCCAAGTTGCAAGATAATCTTGTTATTTAATTAAAATCCTATTTATTTATTTCTTTTTCAGTGGATTCCGAAGACATACCATTAATTGAAATACTTATGGACTTAGCGCGTGACTCAGAGAAACACGGCCCTGTGGATAATGATAGTATTCTGGGTACCCAAACTTCAGCGTTTGATCACGAGGAAATAAAAAGTGATAACGAAGATGACGATGTTATTGATTTCAACCTTACGTGTTTGGATATTGATTCAATGAGTCCGTGGGGCTCAAACCCCGACAAGTCACCACCTAGTCAACTTGTTCCTGTTAATAATATAGACTTAATTAACAATATTAATAATAGTAATAATAATTATAACGATAATGGTAATCATAACAATAACTATAATAATCCAGGTTCTATTAATACAACTGAAACAACAAATATTAATAGACCTATTATCGGAGCCGATACAACGGATGCTGAGAGTCTAAACTCAGAGGAATCTCAGCTACCACAATTGGATGGTGCGGGTGATCTATTGAGCTTCCTTGAGTCTGAGGAGGACGAAAACATTATTAAGTACGAGCATCAAGTTAAACGTATACCAGAATATCAAGCACCTATTTCAACCGCGGATTACGCCAACAGGGTACGTGTGTTTAACACAAATTTACCTTGTAATGATGACGAAGCATTTATTATGGAGGAGGGTACTTCATCATCAAACTGTTCGCCAATGTCACAACAAGATGCATGGTCCTTTTATTTACCCACCGACGCGGATAACATCGACGAGTTTGTGAATATGAATTTTGAATTACTTGGATCAGAGTTTGACTCGGATTATGAAACTACTTTGGGATTAAATTCGCTGCTGGAAGGCGATGAGGATGAATCCTCTATAGGTATTAATTTAATTGTTGATAACGGTAATAATGAGTGCGTACCACTAGAGGCAGTGTTAAACGGTGACCCCTGTTTTACCCAAACTGCCGAAATGGACAAGTCTGATTTGGCGGAGCTGAAAGATCAATACGATAGTTTGCTTGGTAGTGAACTTGTACCTATAGCTTATAAAAATTTTCGTGAGAGTGATAGTTGTGTTGATAATAATAATACAAGATTAGATAGCAATGATAAGTGTGGTCAAGTGTACTCTAATTCACAAAGTCAACAATTAAATAATGATAATACAAGTAAAGAGGCTGCTAGTACAACAGGAACAACCGCAATAACGCCACCAACAAATGACACCCGAAATTTATCCTCGGAAAATGTTACGCCCAACATACAAGAACCCGACGGTAAAGTAAATACTCTAAAAAGTAAATATGATAACAGTAAAGAGTTTAGTAGTAGCAGGGAGCTAGCAACCGCTGCTGATAGCTCTGATTATAATTGTAACTTAGTTGCCAGATGGGAGGAATTGCAGGACTTGAAGTTTATTCCGAAACGTGTTCTAAAGAAAAAAGGTTTTGTAAGACCGAGAAAACAAATATTGAGACGGGCAACCCTCAGTGAATCAATGATGGCACGTAAGCGCGGTTATTTCCGACGTGGTCCTGCAAATTTAGCTAATCAAGTATTTACTAGTGATAATAATAATACTACTACGGTATCTCCAGTTCCTGATAACGATAATTTACCAAATAACTTAATAGACAATGTTACACAAAATGTTAATAGTAAAAACAATAATACAACGATATGCAATAATAATAATAGACAAATAAGAGCTACTGATCGTACGGGTACGACTGACAAAATTAAACTATTTATTGAAAACTCAAGGAATGTTAAAAATTCAGATAATACTTCCACTACTATTGCAAGCTCTACTTGTAATAGTAATAGTACTAGTAAAACTCGTCTCTCTGCAGACACTCGGGCGACTCTCGCTTCAACAACTACAACTAAAACAAGTTCCTTTAGGTCTGGTATTAAAGAAAAGTCAACTAAATCACCGTGCTCACTCGATGATTATTCACCGAGTGCTCCGAGTAATTTTTCACCGAGCGATCTTATTGGACATGTAAATACCTCGACAGAAGTTGAAACTTCAAGAGGGTATTACAACGGTGAAATGGATCATTTATCTAGCGTTGTTGAAAATCCAGACGAGGTTGATAATAATCCAACCGACGGTGAAAAGACCAAAATAGTTGATAATAAACATCAGTCACGTTATTTATCTTATTACTCATCAGTGAATGCACATAGTGGAGTGCCCTACGGGCAGAACAAACATCGACACTGTCTTTACTCATCATATCGCAGTGCTTTTGTTAAGGATTATGTATTTACGGAGGATCAAGTTTGGGTTATTGATAAACGAAAACGTGGTACTGCACCTGCAATATCAACCTCAGTATGCACTAAAGACTGTTGTCGGTTGCCAATAGTGCTTTTAGATAAGCTTAATATTGTTATTAATAAATCTAAACCTAAACATACTCAAGCTAACCGAGATGCATCCTCTGTTGTGATAGATCACGTTGATAATGTTAATTACACTTGTGACAGTAGTGAAATTGACATGGTCAATTATAATTTTAATGTTAAAAATATAGATAAAATTAATACGCCAGCTCAATTAGTTAATTCATACAATAACGATAATTTTAATATTAATAATAATAATAATAACAACAACAATATTATTAATAATAATAATAATAATAATAATAATTTAAATAATAATGATAATGTAGTTAAAGTAAATAAAAAAATTTATAAAGATAATAATAATATTAAAAAAACTAATATTTTATTATTAAATAACAATAAAAGTTATGATTCAACCTCAACACAATCATCACAAATTTCATCGACACAAAACCATGATCAAGTTACAGATAATAATAATAAAATAATAACAGCAACAGCCACCGCAACAACAACAGCGATAAAACAACAAGAGCAGAATCAAGAACAGCAAAAAAATGACGGCCCGGTTATAATAAAAAGAGTTTTTGAAGAGATGTCTCAAGACGGTACTGCGAGTAAAAAGAAACGGTCAATTATTTTAAAATTGGGAAACAGAAGTCACAGTACTGTTTCAATAAAGGACGAAAATAAAAGTAATTTAGATGAAAGTTTTAACGAGAACTTTGTTCAGCCGCGTGAGATGAAAAGTAAGCGTAGAAGGCTAAAGAAAATAAAACGTTTGAATGAAAAAGTAATAGCCAATGGTATTAATAAAGAATCTAAGATACACAGTGAAAAAAGTACTCCTCATCTATTTAGGTCTTCAAAGTCTTCTAAGACTTGGTCATCAATAATAGATAAACCACGTTTGAGGAGTCGGGTTAATAATAACGTTAAATCTAATAATTCTAATAACCAACTGATGGATAACGAATCGACAGATGCTTGTTCTGTAGCCAATGGACAGCTAAATTTGATTACGTCCTCACAGTCAGAGTCTATTCAATCACGCAAGCGTCCGGAAATTTGGTGTTCGATTAGCAGAAAAAATATCGACTTGGGATTCTTAACTGCAAAATCACTGTCATCTCCAGTCTATAAAGGCGATAATGCTCCAGTGATACGACAGAAGCCTATTGTTATACGTCACGTCGAGACTCTTCCAAAAACGTACAAAATAAAAATCTGTTCAGCAGCCAGTAATGTCAAATCAGTGTGTGAATCAGAAGTCGACACCACGTCACCGGAAGATTTATTGATTACTTTTCAAAATAATAATAGTAATAATAATAACACTGATAATGTTATTGATAATAATTCCGTTGTTACAAATAATAATGATAAAAATGTTATTTCAAATACATCACAAGTACAACAATTCAGCGAGTTTGATACGACACTTGATGTACATTTGTGTGATTCAATTTACAAGGACGAGGATGATGTGGCAGCAGTTGCTAATGAGATATTTGATACAGCCGCCGGTGGTATTGTCGAGGAGGAACGGATATCTTTGGTTGATTGTACGGCAAATTCATCACAGGAATCCGAACAATATACCAAAGCTATTGCTGAAGCTAATTTTTATGCTGGCAAAAATTATACTATCGATGCAATCAGTCTCGAAATACCGCAGTGTCTATTTGAAGAGGATTCTAACTCGGAAAGTTTACAAAAGAAATCATTGGAGACGATAACTGAAAGTTCAATGCCTGAAATATCTGTTGGAATATTATCTCCCTCTCATGTTCCCTCGTCTCATTCACCAGAAACCCCAGCTGAGCTCGACAAACTTTTGGATAATAATTTGATAAACGGGCTTAATGATTTAAATGATAGCATATCTTCTTTAACGAGTATTACAGATAAAATTGTTGTAAAAAGTCAACCGCTGAATGAATTTGTACAGCCTGACGATTCGTTTAACTCAATCACCTCTCACAAATTTAATCCGAGGGATCATACGTCAACTGAGTGTAATTACGTATCATCATCGTCTTCTTCCTCGTCTTCGTCAGCCTTTGAATTTTCTACCTCCGCAATGTTAAATAATTTATCAAGCGAACAGCTGAATTTTGAAGATTACTTTGACGAGGAACAAATTATTCAAATGATCAATTCTGCCCTGATTTTGAATGACATTAATCTTGATGATAACACACTCAATAATCAATTACTATCATTGTCAAAGGAAGATAATATTTGTGGTGATAACAACAAGGTTGATGATGAAAAAACCAAGACCAAGTACTCTCCGAATAAAATTTCAATTATTAGAAAAATTTACAAGACCAAAGGAGATAATAATAAAGCTGAAAAAAGTAACAATGGAAACACTGAGACGGCTAATCAAGCTGATGAAAATCTTCTATTAAACCCAAAACAGGGTATTGATTTAGTGGACATTGAAGCTGAGGCTCCTGATAATCCTGTTATAATTAAACCGAATAATGAAATCGATCTGGAATTTAATGAACCTATGAAAATCGATGCTGATGGTGATGACGACAGCAGTGTAAATGGTAATGACAAAGATGCGGGTGGAGAAGATGAAAAACTCACTAAATTTACGTCACCTGGTTCTATAAATACTACAGCGTATGAAAACAGCTGGAATAATCAAGAATCACGAAATGAAATTAACTCTGATTGCGCAATAAGTCAAGATAAAAATTTAGAAAATATTTCATCAGAAATATTGAATCAAAATGACAACAATGAACAACAGTCAGTTAAAACAATAGCAACAGTTGATGATAATGAAAATAAGGTAAATGTTGATACTGAAGTTATTAAATTAATGGATAATATACTATCACTGGTGAGTATTGAAAAATCAATGAATAATATGTATAATAATGGTAATGTAGACAATAGTATTGATACTGAACCTGTATTAAATTCCATTGTCAACAATAATTTGATAGATGATAAAGGCTGCGAAGCTGCCGGCGGACGGAGTAATTATTTATCTCAGTCAAATGAAATATCAACCACTGTTACTGCCATCGAGAACAACACTGATTGTAATAAAGTTGAAGCAATCACTGATAAATTTTGTTCAGACAATAAAAATATTATTGAAAGTTTGGGAGCTGACGGCAGTGATGATCACGAAGGAACAGAAGCTAAACTGACAAATGAAAAAACGGACGTTAAGTTAGTTGAGCCAGAAATCGAAGATAAAATCACAACTGGTACTGCTGGCTCTTATTGCGAAGTACTTCTTGAGGTAAATGAGAAAGTTAAATCGTCTGTTGAACAATCTACGTTTGAATCTTCTCTTACCATTACTGATAATCAGTGTTCTAATGAACAAGAAATAAAATTGCGGTTTAAAGAAGATTATACGGAAGTAGTGTTTAATAGTGACAAAGAGAATATCGATAGTCATGAGTGTTCCATTTATAGTAACTCTATTCCGGATGTTGAAAAACATCCAGAGGAAGCAGTTAAAGCTGGAGAAAATAAAGAAGAAGAAGAAATAAATGGTGACGGTGAAGAAGTACAAAAAGATAAATTAAATATTGATACTGGTAGTAAGTCTGGAGTTGAACAAGAAAATAATTACACCGATGACAGTAATGGTAAAAATATTTCAAAGGAATCAGTGTTTCGATGCCGGGAATTGTCGGTCCGTTTGGTTCGCATTAAATTAAACGAATTTAATCAATATTTAAATAGCAGTAATGGCTGCGGTAATAAAAGTAAAATAGATGTTAATTCAAGTTTAGTTGAGTTTGAATTTGGTAGTGAAGCAGCCAATGCCAGCTCAGTGAAACAAAAATTCGGAAATTCATCTGGAGTTAAAAAATGTGTTAGATTTGATGATCAGGTATTTATATTCGAGACAAATACACGAGTACCTCTAATAAATTTTGATGAGAAGAGCGAAGAAGAAGAAGAAGAAGAAGCAGAAAAGCAAAGGGAGAACTTTACTGAGGGTGACGAGGGTGAGGGTGCGGTAGAACCTGAATGCCAGGGTGAGGGTGAGGGTGAGACCGAAAGAGTAGGTGCCGGCGAGGTCGAGGGTGAGGGTGGGTGTGATGAAGAGGAGCCGGAGGTGCTGGAGGAAGAGGAAGAGGAAGAGGCTGAACCAGAACCAGAACCAGAACCAGAACCAGAAATAGCAGAACAAGAAAAAAAGACTGGGGTTGAAAATCAAGAATTAGAAAAAGAAAAAGAGCAGCAAGTTGAAAAAGTAAAAGATGGTGAAAAACAAGATAATAAAAAAATAATAGATAAAGATGAAATTTCTGTGGGTAGTATCAAAAAATGTGAAATAACAGACTCATATAAATCAATTGGTAATAAAAATGACAGTGAAACAAAATTTAATGGGGATGTAATTGCTAGTAGTTGTATTAATAAAAAACACGATGATGAGATAATAGTTATATCGGACAGCGATGAATACTCCAGCAGTGATAATGACGTTGAGTTTGTTTCAGAGGAGAAGTTAGCGCCAGACAGTTGTGTCAGCAAAAAGTTAAACACCAAAATTATTGATGAAAATTTTGTTTTTACAGAGAATAGTAATGGGAATACGGATAAGTTATCTCACGTAAATGTAAACGGGGTGATAAGAAATAAAAATGAGACATCGAATGATAAAAAAAATAAAAAATATTCAAAGAGCACGTTTAAAGATATAAACCCAATTAAAGATGTCCCAAGGATAAGATCATCTAGTTTTGGTACGGTGACTGTTACTCTTACTCCCGTTACTTCAACTTCAACTTCTATTTCAACTTTTATTGATAGTTGTGGTAATGCTACTACTACTACTACTACTACTGCAGCAGCTAGTTTACCGAATAAAAAATCGGGAAAACGAGTTAAAGAGTTGGCAACGAAATTCACTTGTGTATCAGGACAAAATAGCAGTAAATCAACAAAAACCGAATTTAACCGTGACATTAAAGAGCAGCAGCAACAGTTTTCTTTGGACAATATCCAGGAAATGGAAAGTAAGTTAGATAAGAACCTAAAGGATGTTACAGTTCTAGATGAATCTACAATACCAATTGATAAGAATATAAAAGAAAAATCTTGTTTAGCCGGTGAACTTTTAACAAAATTTACTGAAAAAGAACCACCAAGATCCAGTGAATCAACATGCAAACGCAAACGTAATAACAATAATAATTTACCAAGACAATCCTATTTAAATTCAAATAATATTATCAAAGCTAATAGTAATAGTATTATTACTGTTCCTTCAACAGTTGATCCAGCACCAACAACATCCTCATTATTGCCAGCCTCGATGGTAGAAAGCCGCCAGAGCTCCGATGACAATCGATTGGTACGAACTTACAGAATGTTAACAAGTTATCGCACTAAAATTCATACACTTAGTATTGATCAGCGAATGGTATTTACCCGCGTGGCAGTAAGCGATCAAGAATTTGGCAGTAAACAAGCCAAAGAAAAATTCCTGGAGGGTATTGGATTATATCCACTGAAACCGCAAGGCTGCGGGTGGAAGCCAGCTCACATTACCACCGGGTTCATGCAATTACAGCAGCCACGTGTTATTCTCCAGCGACTTACGCCGAGTGTGCTTAAATACTACGGGTACACACGTCGATTCAAAAGCCAGAGATTCGGAAAACGTTTCAAGACCGACGTAAATAATCGATTTACGATACCGGCGTACGATGGCCCGGCGGATTTGAGCTCCACTGATTCTGAATCGGATACGGATATAACTCTTGACTGCCGGGAGAAACGTGTTTGCGACTATAAACCGAGAAAGCACTTTCAACGGCGCGAGGCAACAGTAACTCCTCGTAAACGCAAAAACATCAACAGCGACGAGGAGACCGGAGGAGATAAAGTTAATCCCGGGGAGGAGGATTTATTTCAAGGAGCCAGAGATCGAGCAACTCAACGTTTATTTAATAGACCTACGACTAAACACAGTATGCCTTTAACTGATAATAAAATTTATTATCAATCGCCCACCAGGGCCACCACCTCTAGATCTTCCGGTCTCTCGGGCAATTATACGCCATTGAAAATAATTATCACGTCACCGAAGGTACGAAAACTCGAACATACTTCTTCTGATCAACCAACGATTGATAATCATAATCGTACCTACAGTCACAGTCGAGCCGAGGACTGTCTTGATAATGAAAACAGCTGCGTCACACCGAGGAGACGGAGGAGATTGCTTTCTTCGGCTGTGACATCCACCAAGCGCCGAGGTAATTATTATTATTGTTATTTTATTCCGTGCTCCAGTTGATGTTATTTCTCTGGGTAATTGTTTAAAAATTGTTTTAGTTTCAGGTGACAGTTGCCAAATGCTGACGGCAAATGATGAACGACAACAGACGGGTGAGTTCGAGATGTGAGTCTTTAAGTTAATTTTTTTTTTTTTCGTTATTTTTATTTATTAAAAATTTTTTTTTTTTTTTTTTTTTTTTTTAAATTGCTACACTGCAAACGTTTAGGCGAATTAATAATATAGATACCGAAAAAGACAGCTGGGCGATAGTGATAACGGAGCATATTTATTTATTAATTCGCGTCTGAGGTGTAGGAAATTTAATTTAATTTTTTTTATTAAATTTATTTAGTTTTTTTTTCTTCTTTCTTCAATAGATTAAACCCCATTCCCAGTACCACCAGTTTTGGTGGTGAATGCAGCGCTACAGCTTCAAATGATAATAATTATGTTGAAAAATGTAATCGTGATTTATCACCAAGTGTCAAAGCCAACGTGAGAAAAAATTTATTTTTTTCGTCGAGCAAACAAGACGATCGACTTGATAAAAGTTGGCGCAATCAAGCTGGTGATATTGATAATACTGATAAAGGTGAAAAATTAACAGAAGATACTGATGAAATGCTCAATAATGAATTAGAAAAATCTAGTGATGATGATACTGTGATATTTGAGCAGTCTGCAGCTAATTTAGAACTTGAATTTTCACCTTTATCGAAATTCGACAATGATAAAAATCTCGAGGAGCAAGATGACGTGTGTAATGTAACATTCACACAATACTTGAGCTCGCAACTTACCCGACAGACGAATCAATCATCTGGTGAGTACAAAAAGAATCTGTCAAACTCGGAAAAACAAGTAACAATTATTCCGAAATTAAAACCACCGTCTGTTGGAAGAATAATTGACACAATGGAATTATATAGCATACCAAAGTGTCGTAACTTGCAGCCGTTTTTTAGTAATCAATCAGATGCGCCAGGTCACAAAGAGGTAGCTCACAGATTATTAAAAGTACCTGGTAAAGGATTAGCCGATTTATCATATTTTAAATCAAGTCTTGATAATATTACGGGTATTAATCGCTGGCGTAGGATGAAAATAAATGAATTTAATTCATCATCAAAGGGAAGTGGAGGAGTTTTTAAATCATGTAATATTAAAAAAAATCTTGCTGGACATTCATCTGTGGTTATTACACCTTTAATTTTACCTCCTTCGTTGACAAGTGTGATAAAGTGGGTCAGGGCTCGGGATTATTTGGCAAAAAAACGTATTAAACTCGAGAAAAGAGACAAGGACAAAAATAACGTCAAAGACAAAGATAAATACAGAGATAAGGGAATTGAAGGAGGAGAAAAAGAAGAAATAGCTCAAGACGAAGAAACAGTTCAAGATGTTATTGAAACATTTGAGCAACATAAAAAATACGACAATCCGTTAATTGAATCAGAGCAACGTTCAAATAATGTTAATATTAATATTAATTCAAGTATTCTCGAAACAACGACTGAAAATATTATAAATTTAAATTCTGGAAGCGATAGTTCTGGTTACACTGTTGTAGATTGTTCAAGTGCCGTTGAAAAATATACGAGCTCAGGGGATAATGGAAAAAAAAGTTTATTAATACAACAACATGATAACGAAAATTCTAATAATACCCTCGGCGACAGCCTCGACGATTATATTGATCCGTCTTTATTAAGTATACTCGGTAAATCGAAATTGTTTAAAGAGAGTGAACAGTCGAAACATTTTGGAATTTCATGCGGACAAATTGAATGTTTAACGCATTCAGATAGAAGTAATGTGGAGAATGAGAATAGACAGAAAGCGAAAGCTCTGACGAGGGTACGTATTATTGAATTTTTTTAATACCTCTTTTTTTTTGTCTATTGTTACCTTTTTATTAAATTTTAAATTAATCTTTAAAAAAAAAATTTTAAATAAAAGATAATATGTATATATATATATACCTATAATTTTTATTTCTGTTTTATTGTTACAGTATCAATTTATAACAGTGTTATGTGTAGAAGTACATGTCGTAACTCGTGATGATTTATTACCAGATCCACAACATGATTCTATTTCTGCTTTATTTTATGCTGTACAGAGTGATGTTCCACCAACCTCCTCAATTAAACCACTTGAACATGGTAATTTAGAATTTTACTACTTATAAGGACGTTCTTGCGTGCAGCTCATTATTACATAACTTTATTTATTTATTTATTTATTTAACACTTTCTGTGATTTTAATTAGTACGCAATAGGCATTAGCATTATCAGTGAGCGTAAAAATGAAACTTAAAATTAGTAGAAAAAAAGAAAAAATGTAATTCTTTTTTGAACATTGAAAAAAAAAATTTGGTAATTATTTCCAAGTGGGGTCAAACCCATTTTGAGCCATTTTCAATTTTTTTTTTTGATTCTGTTTGTTTTTACAGCGCATTTATGATAAAAAATGTCGTAAAAGAAAAAAATAAATATTTCAATAGCTTTTTTGTCTCCAAAAGTTGGAAAAAATTTTGGCTCATGTTTTTGGATGAAATTTCTATTTTATCTTTTTTCCTGTTTTCGATATATATTTTTTTTTTTTTTTTTTTTTTTTTTTGAAAAATACATAAAAAAAACGAACCATTAAAAAAAAAAAAAGTTAAATATCACAATTTTAACAAATTCTCAAAAAAAATTTATAAATTTTCAACTTTTTTTTTTTTTAATTGTTCGTTTTTTTATGTATTTTTCGAAAAAAAAAATTTATCAATAAAATTAAATAGAAATTTCGTTCCAAAAAATTAAAATTAAAATGGTTGACCCCACTTGTAAATTTTTATCTAAAATTTCTTAGTTTAAATTAAGAATTTTTTTACTCAAATCAAGATGATAAAGTTCTTCAAAATTATTTATTTGATTCAAGTTAATTTTTTTTCTGTATATTTTATTTATAATTAAATAATAGGTATTGTAATTCATGACAACACCAAAAAACGTTCTTGTTAATAGTTGATGAAATCCTAGTTGATAAAGTGTCTAATTCAAAGCGTATTTGTTGTATGTTATTTAGGTTTTATAGCGGTCGCAACGGAAGGAAACAACAACTATGGGTATGATTACGGATCGTCGTTGCCATTTACCAAGACATTTGTATCAAATGAAGTGGAATTATATAAAGCATTTGTAAATTTAGTAACACGTACCGACCCCGAAATATTTATCGGTTGGGAAATAGAATCATTATCTTGGGGTTATATATTTCAGCGAGCCTCTAGACTTGGGATCAATTTAGCAAAACGGATTTCTCGAATCCCAAGCGTACAATGTAAGTGGGAATCTCAGCCGTCGGATCTTAATACATTAGCGGATGTTAAATTACCGGGTCGTATTGTCCTCGACATTTGGCGAATTATGAGAAGTGAAATAGCGCTGCTTACGTATACGTATGAAAATGTTATGCATAGTGTGATGAATGAGAGAGTTCCCTGTCCGTCCTTTAAAGTATTATCTAACTGGTGGATTGAGCCGCAAGATGAAGAAGAAAAGGTGAAGGATACGAATGAGAAACAGAGGCAGAATCCAAGATCACGTTGGAAAGTTGTTCAACATTACAGTGTTAAAGTTTTAGGTATCTTGAGGATTCTCGAACAACTTGACATTATTGGACGAACAAGTGAGCATGCTCGGCTTTTTGGAATCCAATTTTACGAAGTTTTTTCTCGTGGTTCTCAGTACCGAGTTGAATCAATAATGTTACGGCTTGCAAAGCCACTCAATTACATTCCGGTATCTCCTTCACCGTTGCAAAGAGCATCTATGAGAGCTATGGAGGCACTTCCACTAATAATGGAGCCAGAAGCAATGTTTTACAGTGATCCACTTATTGTCCTTGACTTTCAGAGTTTATATCCAAGCATTATTATCGCACACAATTATTGCTTTTCAACCTGTTTAGGGCGTATAGAAAATATTGGACAGCAAAATCCTTACAAATTTGGTGCTTACTTGCTGCGTGTCCCTAAAAGCACAGCCATTAAATTACAAGGTAAAGTCAATTATGCTCCTTGCGGTGTAGCTTATGTAAAGCCAGAAATACGTCTTGGAATTTTACCAAGAATGCTTACTGAAATTTTAGAAACACGATTGATGGTTAAAAAAGCTATGAAAGATCATAAAGATTCTAAAGATGATAAATTATTACAACGAGTTTTGCATTCACGTCAACACGGACTTAAATACCTCGCTAATGTTACTTACGGTTACACAGCTGCTAATTTCAGCGGCAGAATGCCCTGTATTGAGGTAATTTTTTTCCCCTTTTATTTTATTTTATTTTTTTTTTCTTATTTTCTTCCTCACTACTTTGTCAACCAATACACACTATCCGCAAATAGATTAATTCTTTCATTTATTTGTTCCAGCTTGGAGATAGTGTTATTAGTAAAGCTAAAGAAACTCTTGAACGCGCAATAAAGCTTGTAGAATCAACTCCCAAGTGGGGAGCACGCGTTGTTTACGGAGATACCGATTCGCTTTTTATCCTTGTGCCTGGTAAATCTAAAGACGACGCTTTTATTATTGGCAACGAAATCGCTGACGCTGTTACTGCATCTAATCTTAAGCCGATCAAACTTAAATTTGAAAAAGTTTTACATCCAGCAATATTACAAGTAAGTTATTCTTTTATCGCTTCAATGGATCTTTCCATGAATAATTAATCCTTACCTTACCTTTTTCTTTTAGACTAAGAAACGTTACTGCGGGTACATGTACGAAACTCCAGATCAGAAAGAACCAACCTACTTGGCAAAGGGTATAGAAACTGTGAGAAGAGACGGTTGTCCAGCTGTTTCTAAGGTTAATAAATTTTTATCTAACGAGACTTGAATAGTTTTACAAAAACTTTTTTTTTAACTTACTTTTAGTTGATTTTTAAATTACTCGACATTTTTATTAACACATAATTACAATACGTAGTTCATTTATTTTACATGTTCATATTAATGCAATAATTTTTTGAGTAAGGTAAAAGCTTCTATTATTGTCACTATAAGAGTGATCATGATTATTTAAATTTTTTTATCATAGTTTCAAATCAATATCGTCAACTTTTTTTTTATAGGACATCTTAATCATTGTTTTTACTTACATAATTTAATTAATTAACTTTAATAGCAACAAATTTAATAATTATTATATCAATTTAAAATCAACAAGTCGACTGTATGTATTATTGACAGCGCAAAAAATTCAAAGAGCCGATTATTGACATATCATTGACCCCATTATCGACAGGTCTTTTATTACAGTTAAATTTATTTTAACAATAATCATTTTTACTAACTAATGCAAAACTATCAATAATTTTTATTATTTTAAAATTCGTTTAAGACCTAGCTTTTCTATATTTTTTACCAGGTGTTTTTTTTTAGCAATTTTTTCTAGTCTCAAATACTTTGATTCTTATAAAATCACATGACAGTATGTAAACATTAATACGTTGATATGTATGTTGAGGGGTTTAGGTTACCTTACATTATGGCCTATGTCGTTAGTTGACGCAAGTTAATTTTTGTGTCCCCATCATTGACATCCGCTATTTTAAAATTAATTTTAACTCGATAAAGTATAAATAAATGATTATATGGTTATTTAGACTATAAATAATAATCTAAAATAATTTTAAGCAATCCAATTACATAAAAAACAAACATTGAGAAATTTGGATTTGAAAATAAGGTCTTTCTTAATAATATTGTTAAGAAATTACAAACGTATAAGCAGTTTTTTCCTACTTGAAAAAATGAAATTTTTTTTGCGGTAAATAGTCTATACCTTGGAATTAAATTTTACTATTTTTTTAATTTTAAAGATCTGTAAAATTTTCATGAAATATCAACAATCGTAATTATTAAGAGATTTTAATAATGAAATAATAAAATTAAATAGAGTGTCAATAATAGGTGCTTTTACCTTAGTTTATTTTTCAATTAAAAAAAAAAATACTTGTAAAAAATTACTACTAAGGTAACAGTAGTATTTAATAACAACCGGGTGGAATATAATTTAAAAATAAAAAAAAATTCAATGATGTTTACAAAATGAGATAGTATGAGTTAACAAGTTTGTTCTTACTACATATTTATTTATATATGCTAAATTATGCGCAATACTTGTAGTCTAAAAAAAGTTCAAGTCTTTGTAAAGAAAAAAAATGATGAAAAGCGGTCATTAAAATATAACTTTAGTCAGAGGTCGGTTGATTTGTTATTAAATCAGTCAGTGGTGGTTCCTAATTTAAACTTCAATAGGGTAATAACAATAATAATAAATAATATTGTTTATTTTTATCTTTCAGATTCTTGAAAAGTCATTAAAAATTCTTTTCGACACTAAAGATGTATCGTTAGTAAAACAATTTGTAACGCGGCAGTTGGACAAAGTACTAAACGGAAAAGTATCGCTTCAAGATTTAACATTTGCTAAAGAATTCCGTGGTCTGCGTGGATACAAAGAGAAAGCATGTGTACCGGCGTTGGAGCTTACACGGAGACTAATGAAAAAAGATCCACGAGCCATACCCCGTCACGGCGAGCGTGTTCGCTATGTTATTGTTGCCGGTCCACCAAATCAAGCATTAATTAATTGCGTGCGTTCGCCGTGGGAGGTTATTAATGATCCTGGACTACGACCAAATGGTACGTACTATGTTACTCGGGTGATAATACCACCGCTTAATAGATGTTTAAATCTTATGGGTGTTGACGTAAATACTTGGTACCGCGAAATGCCGCATCGGTACATTTTAAACAATCCAACAGTTGTACCGAGCGACAAACAGAAACAAACGATATTTCAATACTTTGGCAACGTCGTTTGCGTCTGTTGCGGTCGTGCTTCTTATAAAAATATTTGCGACGACTGTACCTCTAATTCCACTGAAACAATTATTGTTCTACATGAAAAGTTGAGGTGGTTGCAGAGAATAAACAATAATGTCACCGCTATTTGTCAGTCTTGCATAGGACGCGATAGTGATGTTGCTGACTGTGTATCATTGGACTGTCCTGTTCTTTATCGTCGTGCTCAAGCATCCAGAGAATTAACTCAAGGAATTCAATTACAAAATGTTATTACTGGAAAAAGTAACATTCTATTTTGAATTTAATAATTATACCTTTAATTAACATAATCAAAATTAATCATTTTTTAAACGTCTTTCGATATGTGCTTCCAACACCAGGACGTAAAATTATTTTTATTATTATTATTATTTTATTAAATTTAAGTAACTCCAAAGTATTTTTTCGCACACGTCCAATAATTATTTATTAATTTTATTAAATTATATTTAAAGATATATATGGCGATAAATTGTCATTGATCGGATAAGATTTGAAAAACAAAAAATTTATATAAATAATAATTATAGTATTATTTTGGATAAATCAAAATTTTTATAATTATAATGATAATGTCAATATATAATTTACCTTTTGCGGATTATTGAATTATTTTTTTTAATGAGCAATCCATGACATTTATACGTATTTTTTCAAGCTACACTTCCAAAGTTCCATAACCCGGGTGTACATGGTGCAACAAAGCATTAATTTATGTAAGTACACTCGGGTTGTCATAAATTATAAATTTATATAAAAAAAAAATTAGTTAATTGATTAATTAGTTTATTAATAATAATAACGAGTTAATTATTAGCAAAATGAATAATAATAATGATAAAAATAAAATAATGATAATCTAATTGTCAATAGTAAGGTATAAAATATGTCATAAAACCACGGATGAGCCTCTTAGAATTTTAAAAAAGAGGCATTACCGTTTCCAAGTGCCATTGTTCCTTATATTGTTAGTTTCTCGGAGGTATTTACCGAATTATAAAAAAATATTTATAAATTTATTCGCATAATTTCGTAATAATTATTGTAAAATTATATCATTAATTTAACATGCATACATATAAAGTCCCTGAAATAATAATAAATATTAATATTAAACAATAATTATAATTGTAATAATAAATAAATTTAAGCAACTAGATTAATACCGCCGGCGGTTCTTAAAAGTATAAAAATAAATGTATCAAGTGTACATAATTATAAACAAAAGTCTGCATATTAAATAATAATATTAATATTAATAAATATTTATAAAGCGATCAGTGTAATTTGTAATTCAGCTATTTGTAATACGAAAACAATGGTTTGTTATTGCATATGTGGTAGTAAATTTGGACAGCGATAAACTTTGCTATTAAATAATTATAATAATATTAATTAAAAAAAAAAAAATACCCGTAGCTAATTATCTTTTAATTATTATTATTAAAACTTTATTATAATAATCTTTTGTATAAAGTTTTTCCGATAAAGAAGTACCCATTACGTTGTATGTATTTACATGAGTTTATCGTTGTTACCGAGTGAATAAAGTGCAGCTAAATTTGTAATAATTATTATTAGTAATGATTAATTAATGGTAAATAAATAAATAAATGAATGACTAAATAGATATTTATCTATTATGATAAATATTACTTACGTATGCGTGTGATATACATGTGGTTTAGAGAAGAGCACTGGTACATTCTTATCCAACGTTTTTTATATATTTTATCTTTTTCATCAGCTATAAAATCAAAAGACTGCTAAGAAATAACTTCTCTACGCCGCATTGTAACGCAATGTCACTATAGAGAAAAAATAATAATTATTCTAAATCAATTAATAATTGTAATAATATTAACAATAATAATTAAATAATAATATTAACAGTGCATAATTAAATGGATAAATAGTATTGATTTAAGTTGATAAAATGTCAAATTAATTTAAAATTTTTAAAATACTCGTTATGTAGGTGGAGTGTTGTTTTTATGCTATTATGCTTACTTTATCTCGTTAATGTAAATTATTTTTTTTTTACTGTGTTGAGAGTGGATTGTGAGCAATTTATCCATTTTTTTCCTTTTTATAAATATATGTATAAATATATATATATAAAGAATTAGTATTGTATCAAATTGAATATTGTAATACCTAGAATTACTTTGGATGTATTGATGGTGTAAAACAATTATTTATTTATGTATTTTTAAATACAATCGTTTTGATCAGGCTAATGACTTAAAAAATATTAATTAAATAATTAATAATGAGTAATTAATAAAAGCGAACAAGCCTTTTCTGACGACTGTGATACATGGTTTTGTTTATATTATTATTACACTTTTTTTTTGTATATTTCGCCCACCATTGTAAGAATAAATTTATTTTGAAAAATATTAAATACGGAATTGGAAATTTGAAAATAATTATTGTATTTTTCATTTTTTTATTACCTGTAATGAAAAATAACAACATTTTTTTATTTATAATTTATTAATAGATTTAAAGCTATTTAGCGTCAATTTTTCACATTTTTATAACTAAATTATCATGAAAAATATTCCACATCTAGAAATTTAAAAAAATTACAAGTGTAAATTTCAAAAAAAATATTTTTTTATAGTTGATTTATAGTAAAAATAAAAATTTTTAGATTGCTGATTTTAGCTTCACAATTTTGACACTTGTCACATGTAATACTTACAACTTACAACACATATAAATGGAGAGGTGCTGTAGAGTAGTGCAAAATGGTACTTTAAAATCACTTGTGTTGACAGTTTTTTTTATTGATGATGCGTAAACATATTTTTTTATTGTTTTATAATTTTTTTTTTTGTTTTTGCAAACTTAGTAAATAATTATGTAGTGCCAAACATCGAAATTCAAACTAGATACTTGAAAATGATGATTTTAATCATGAAAATTAATTTAGCCGATATTTGATAATTTTTTAGAATTTTTGTACCAAATGTTATGGCAAAAAATACGGCTAACTTAATTTTCATAAAAAAATCTCAAAACGGAATTTTTAATGATACTGAAGTTAGCTGACAACTGTCAATTTTTTTTATTTTTAATTTTTACAAAAAAGTCACTTTCATAAAAATGCTTCTAAAAATCTCCACAAATAATTTTTTTTATAATTATTTAATTGCTATAAAATAATAAAAAAATTCTTAAAATCAGTCAACTTTACTGTGAAATTTTTGATAATTCTGAAATTCACAGACATTTGACAATTTTTAAAATTTTTTGCATTGAAAAAATTAATACAAAAAACATTAAAAGAAAAATTCACATGTAGAAGATTAAAAAAATCTACGAGTTAAATTTTTTGAAAATATTTTTAAAATCCGAATTTAATTAATAAAAATTTTTAAAAATTGTCACAAGTTCACCGATTACAGTATTATAATTTTTAAAATACAGAGAATGATTAAGGAAAGAATGAACTATAAATAATAATGATAGTTTTTCATAATCGATACTTTATTTAATTTCAAACATCAATAGACAATTTTTATCAATAATATTTCTACTTCAATTTAAATACAGATATTGTTATGTTATAATAATTGTAAATAGATAAGAAAGGAGTACGGCAATACAACTGTTTCAAAATCTCCTCAGTCTTGATAAAACTAGTAGAGTTTATAGAAAAATATTGATATCAGTACCTGTTTTAGTCATCAATGGTCTACTTTCAATAGTAAGCATATTTTTTTATAGTAACAATAATAGTTTGATTATCAAATCCTGTTTCATGATAAAGAGTAGTACTAAAATATTTGTAAATAATTCAAGACTATTGATTTGTAAATAATTCAATTATACAATTGATACTCGTAATAAATAAATCCAAGGTACAGTTGCAGATCAATAGATCCTTGAAGACATTCATCGTTTTAACAGTTAATACAATTAGAGTCATTTTAAATATAATAATCTACTTTTTTTTTTTTTTTTTTTTTTTTTTT